TCCAACACACCCCAGAGAGGAGACATGACAGAGGTAGGCTGACAAAGAAAAGTTATAATATTGCAAAATCAATATTGTTGCAAGCTCTTTGACTGAGAGATGCTGTTCTTGGCTTCTAGGGTGGGGAAGTTGAAGAGAGCCAAGGTGGTCCAGACCCAGGCAACAAACCAATGAGGCAGAACTACTACAGAGGCTTCAGACCAAGGTTCAGACCCAGGTTTTCATGTTGTGTTTGCAGACGTGAGGCTGTAGCAATTGTGAGAGAAAACAAAATATTTAAAATAAACTAGCAATTGCGAGTTTGTTCCACTATTCGGAGAAAAAAAAAGAATTGCTAGACTCGCCATTGCGAGGGAAGGAAAAGGTAGAATTGTGACTTTTGACTTGTAATTCTGACATTATAACTCACAATTGTGAGTTTATATTGCACAATTTGGAGAGAAAAGTCGCAATTACTCTTATTTTGTTTATTCAGTGGCGGAAACAAGCTTCCATAAGGTTGAAATAAAAAATGATAGTTCTAATTTAATAGAATATTAGTGTTTATTATAAAATATTTATCCATACAAATTTTTCTAATTAATTCATGTGCCCTCATAATCTTTAATCAAAATGACGACTACTCTGATGTGTTTACTGTTGTGATGGCTGGACAACCTGTCACTCACAGGAGATTGACCAATAACAAACCACATCGATTCAATCAATTCCTCATGGACAAAAGTCCCACTCTACTACTTTTTTTTCTTTTCTTTTTTTTGATCGAGAAGCAGTTTCATTCATTGTATATGTCACAATAGGGATGACCCCCCATTTCATTCTGACTATAACTCTCCTAAATCAGAGTTCCTCAAATCCTCCCCTGGAGCCACTGCCCTGCAGAATTTACATCCAACTCTAATCAAAAACACCTGAGCAAGCTGATCAAGGTCTTCAGAGTTACCGGAAAGCTACAGATCTGTGTTTGATCTGGGTTTAAACTAAACTCTGCAGGGCTGGATTTGAGGAACCCTGTCCTGAATACTGTAATTTGGCTAGTTTTGCAAGTTTTTTTGAGTCACAAGTATGAGTGACAAGAGTCTGATTTTAAACCTCAGTAGCAAAAATGTAGTTGGCAAGTTTGGTATAGTTCTGTTAAAGGAACACTCCGACTTTTTGGGACTTTAGCCTATTCACCTTATCCCCCAGAGTTAGATAAGTCCATACATGCCTTTTCCATCTCCGTGCGTGCTGTAACTCTACCTGACGCACCCACCGCTAGCCTAGCTTAGCACAAAGACTGGATGTAAATGGTTGCAGCTAGCATACTAATCCAAATAAGTGACAAAATAACGCAAACATTTTCCTATTTACATGTTGTGATTTGTATAGTCACAGAGTGTACAAAAAACAAAGTCACATGAGACACAGAGATATTTTAACCGTATAAATACTGGGAACTATATTCTCTGAAGGCGAAGCACTGCTACTCGGGCGGAGTGATAACCGCAGCACCTGAGACGCGCCGTGGTGAGGAGCAGAGAGCGCGTCTTTGGATTAGTATGCTAGCTGCAACCATTTACATCCAGTCTTTGTGCTAAGCTAGGCTAGAGGTGGGTGCGTCAAACAGACTTGTAGCACGCACGGAGATGGAAAAGGCATGTATGGACTTATCTAACTCTGGGGGATAAGGTGAATAGGCTAAAGTCCCAAAAAGTCGGAGTGTTCCTTTAATATCCAAACTGTCGGTTTTAAAGAATTCATTTTAAAGGTTTATTCATCACTCACGTCTGCATGGCATTATGCATATTAAAATGTTTTGGAAATGAACAGCATTTTATGTAATTACACTTGTATGTTTTCGATGTTGTTGATATACTGTATAATAATGCTGAAAACGTGCCTTTCTGCTTGCATTTATTTTTTACCTTTTTTGTGAAATTCAGCTGCAAACCCTTGTGGAAATTAATGCTGCCTTCACATGCTTCACATGAGTTTCCTAGTGTGAAATTGGACATGAACGCCCTCAAGTTGTATTTGCAACTGAAAACTCATAAGTTTGAGTAAGGCGGCCCATAAACTTTAAACGTGCAGGGGAGAATTACTGTGCTGTGACTGGTGTTCTTTTTTCCAGCTACATCACTATATCTCGTCTTTAAGTAGTGCATATGTCTACCATTTGAAGCATATTGTATCTTTTATAAACTGAAAAATAAGTTTTTGACCTTCGTTAGCAAGCCATCTAGATTGTACTGTGAATGTTAATATGGTTGTCAACGAATGGGACGCTACATTTGAATTAAAATTAATATGTCCGGTTAATTTTGGCTTTAATACGATTTCCTCAAGAAATAGGCAAGAATAAACCTGGTGTCCTCCATGATTCCAATTCTTTCCAACAACAAAGCACTTGAACGAGACGAGCTCGTAATCCCGACTTAAGTGGAAAGTAGGAAATTCCCGATAGCATGTGAAGGCAGCATATGTAGTCAAGCATGTTTAAGTTCTGGGGCCGTTGCACAAAAGACAGCTAAGACTAGTATTACTAGTTAGTCAATGTATATTGTTTCTTTGAAGGTATGGTTCAGCCAAAAAATTCTTTCATTAATGAAATGACATGAGGGTGAGTAATTAATGAAAGAATTTTTGGGTGAACCATCCCTTCATAGAAACAATATACATAGACAGCTAAGACTAGTCTTACTAGTTAGTCAATGTATATTGTTTCTTTGAAGGGATGGTTCACCCAAAAATTCTTTCATTAATTACTCACCCTCATGTCATTTCAAAACTGTAAGACTTTTGTTCATCTTCAGAACTCAAAGGATGTTTTTGATGAACAGAGCTTTCTGTCCCTCCATAGACAGCTACGCAACTGATACTTTCAAAAAGTTCATAAAGGGATTATTAAATTCATAAAACTAACCCATATGAATAGAGCGGTTTAGTCCAAATTTTCTGAAGAGACTCGATCACTTTATACTCTAAACCGATATAAACATTGATACAAACGGAAGCTCAACCGAACCCGCTGGATCAGTGAAAACAAACTCTTATGGAAGCTCAAACGCGCTGCGTAACACGAGAATGAACCTTGTTTTCTTGCACATCAAGCGAACATGCTATAAAAACAAGTCTTGCGGGTTTGGAACAACATTAGGGTGTGTTATTAGCCAAAAATTGACCCATTTGATTACCCATAACTAGCTGCTAGTTGGTCATACTAGTTATTAACATAATAGCTATGTTTATGCAACTGGCCCCTGGTCCCTTTTAATGGCTCATATTTGGTTCGATGTACCTCTGAGAACTTGACCCTGGTTGATCCTCTACTGCAGCTTCTTTTGTGGCCATTTCTCTTATTTGAACCTTTAGGTTTGTTGGGTCTTTCAAGCTTCATGTGTAATTGAATATGCATTAGATCTTCATGTACACCCAGTTCCCAGCATAACCAGAAAATAAATGATTTTTTAGCAGGGGTCCCCCACGTCCCCGGCCAGTGCGGGAACCTCGGGAAGGGGAGGAGGATAAGGAGAACCAGAGCGAGAGTGGGCAGAGCCAGGAGCCCCGTCAGCGCCGCTACCGTCGCAACTTCAACTACCGCCGCAGACGGCCCCAGACAACCAAGCCTCAGGACGGCAAGGACAGCAAGGCAGCCGATGCATCAGCCGAAAAATCAGCCGCTCCCGAAGCCGAACAGGGCGGAGCAGATTAACCGGCTTGAACATCTAGACCATCCGGCCGGGTGGGTTAACCTAACCGCTTCAGATGAGAAGTTACTGCATGTAAATTAACATACTTGTTTATCAAGTGTGTTGTGTTTTTTGACTGTAGCGCTCTTTCTTAGGGTGAACTAATAATCATGGTTCCATTCTGTAGTAGTTTTTTCTTTTTCTGTTTTTCGTTGTTTGGGCTGCTTTTTCTTTTCTTTTTTGGTAAATAACATGAAACGTGAACATGTTCAGACCACATTTAACTCCCAAAAAAAAAAAAAAACTAAATGCAGAAAAAATATTTAACAAGAAAATAAAGCCTATTTGTTTGAGCATTAAGATTTCTCTTGCATTGCCATTATTTTCATGACAATTGAGCACATTTTCACCCAGATTTTTTTTTTATTCCATGTCATGGTAATGTTTTACTGGGTTTTGATGCTGATTACAAAATGTATAATTTTACAGGAAAAGTGCTTGATTGTCAGGAAAATGTCATTATTGTAAAATAACTTGTTCTTAAAAATAGCCTTCAATTTATGCATGTTCGTTTGAAGTGACTAGGATGTTTTCATGTGATTTCCATTTGATCAGATTCACATTTTCATTAGCATCAATTATATGTGGGGTGGGGGTGTCTGCAGATAATGGATGGTGTTTCAGCTTCTGTTTGCACTTTTCTTTGATGGAAGACTAGATGATGATGATAATGCAGTGGATTTGATTTAGCAGACTGTCTGCTTTGTCCTGGCAAACACTCTTGTGCTTATAGCAACTTCTAAAATCGATCAACCAGTAGCACAAGCATGCTAATCTCTTTTTGTGTGTGTGTGTTTGCCTTTTGCAGTTTTGTCAAGAAGAAACATCCAAGATCTGAGCAATAAGAAACGGATATGATCGTCTAAGCTTGCAAAAATGCATTTCGACCAGATTACCACCGATTGCCTGCAGACTCTATGCAGACCTGTTTTCTTTTCCATTCTTTTTATGTGACAGCTAAAAGTTTTGGGGAAACGGCAGATGTTTTTCTAAATCGGTCTTAAGTTTTTACACCAAATGGTTTTTAAAAGTAATTTGATATCTGGTCAGTTTGACATTTTTAAATAACTTTTTATGTATCCAAACATGAATTTTAACAAAGGCAAGCTGAAATAAAACCAGAAACAGTTCTTCTAGTGTGAGTGGTGTTTAACTAAGTTCATGCTGACAGTGTTCATATTCACATTACAAGCACTTTAGACACTCGGTTTACAGAGATCCTAATGTTTTTGGTGTCAGAAGCACAGTATGTTCCATGTAGTCAGATTCCGCTCAGACGTCGGTCTCCTTGCGTAGTCGAGCCATGCGCTGTATGTTGTTCTCCATCGCAGTGCGGTTCGTGATCTGAGTGGCACAGCTGGCAGGAAACCAACCCCTCTCGCCATCTCTCATCCGCTCTCCATGACACCAACCTACAACACATAGAACAATTAAGTGAATGGCTATGTACACATGAGTCAGAGTATGTAAACAGCTCTGAGTAGAGGCAGAGTTGTCAACTCATACTTGTTATTCTGACAACGGCTGCATCCAAAATCGCTTGCTTGCTATATCAGTAGGCAAAATAAATTTCGTGACAAAAGAAAAATTTCCAAATTCACAGAACTCATAAGAGTAGACAAAAGGCACCAGGATAACCAACTTCTGAGATTCTGAAGTGAGCATTCGATGGACCCTTTACTATCCCATAAGGCAACAGGATAGGATTTGTGAATAGGAGTGAAGTGATGTAACTGATGCTGGTAGGGTAGGTCACATGATAATAACATGGCAAATGCAGTATGTCAAGAATATATACTATATAAAATGTACTTTTTTTGCGGTCGTAAAGTACTTACTTGTGCCAATAAGTGCCTACTTGAGAGTATGCAATTTCAGATGCAGCCAAAAAAAAGTGGTGTTATGAGGAGTAGGGTTAAATGCTCTGCCTGGTGTATGATTGAAATGACAGAAAGCCACCATGCTCACCGTCCAACTCCTGTGAAACGATGACCACTTCTGCCTGCTGCAGGCTCAGCTCATCTGGTGCTTTTGGCATATAGGCTTTAGTAGCTTCATATTGAGGCAGATCTTGGAAACCCCAAACAAAATTAAGTGCCAAAGTTATAAGGTGTGCATAACATGACTAGCTTAACCAAAAAGTGGTTTCCAAACTGCATTAATGTGCACAAAAATGAAGTTACAAGGCTTTTAAATGACATTACATTCATTGATCAGACTCACTATCATTAGCAATGCTGTTGCTTTGTTTGACATCACTGAGTCCTGTGACCCATCGAGCTTTGTCCAGCCTACAAAACATTTCAGAGCAATAATCTATCAGAATCAATCTGACACAAGTAAATAGGGCAAAAACAAAATATTATGGTCTAATATTTAGTGTAATCCTGGTGAAAAAGTTATAAAGTACTCTGTATAATTACCTAGTTAATATGGTTTAAAAAAAATAATCATGCATATATAGCCTTACACACACATTCACTAAGTGATACATTAGTTTCATGTTATGTTTAACCCTGTCTATAAGGCTTGAGTCATATTTGATGCATACATTTCTAGAGTCTAGATTATCAACATATTCAAAACTTGAACCCAAAAGTCGCATAAAAACAGGTGGATGGAAACAGCTATTGATAACTTACTTGCTTTCTGCAACGAATATCATCTGTTCACAACGGCCTTCGCTGTTGGGACTCATTATCAGTTTCAGATTGAGTTTGGAGTCTGTGATTTCCTCTTCCACCTCCACCTTCTCCACAGTGGCATAGTCCAACACAACATAACTCTCCTCACTAAATAAAAAAGGAGTGTTATAGATATACCAGCACCACCTAACCCTAACAGCCCATCACATAATGACGACGCAAATAAACCTTGAGGGGGTTGTCACCCAAAAGTACAATTTCTGTCATCATCTACTCACCCTAATGTCGGTCAAAACCCATAAAACTTTGGTTAATCTTCGAAACACAAATTCAGAGATTTTTTAAATGAAACCTGAGAGGTTTCTGTCCCTCCATTGAAAGTGCAGGTAACCAAAACTTTGAGGATCCAAAAAGGTCATAAGAGCAGCGCAAAATGAATCCATATCCATATCCCTTCTTGTGAAGAGATGTACAATAGCTTTATATGATCAGCAGATTTAATATAGGCTTTTATGTACATATAAAAAGCACACATACATATAGCACATCATCACATAAAGTAAATGAAATCTGTTCATCATATAAAGCGATCTTATCTCTTCACAAGACTAGCTCGATTCACATGGATTCGCTTTACGACTCCTTAGGACCTTTCAGGATCTTACAATTTTTGGTTACGACTTTCAACGAAAGGACAGAAACCTTACAGATTTTGTTAATAATATATTAACTGACGTTAATAAAGTGAACCAAAGTCTTATGGGTTCGGAATGACATGAGGGCGAGTAAATGATGACCATTTTCTAAGCCTTTAATGCAAGTTACTCCCCATTAACTGAAAGTGGCAAGGATCTGTCTACGTTTGGCAAATACTGATCAATAATATATGTTTACATTTTGAAATGACTAGATGAAAGTCAGTTTTTAATAAATAAATACATAAATAGGCTACATACAAGGCCAAATTTGTATTATTTGCATGTAGGACAATGTGTATTTCTCAGCAGTAAGAAGCATGTAAGAAGTTTGCAGTTTGCAACTTAATGATGTTGAAATGGTGTCTAAATAAGCTTATTGACAGCTGAAAGTATTAGCAAATTATCCTAAATATGTATTATACCAACACGGAAGGGGTCTTGAATTCTGAATGTTTGAATTCTGCAAGGCCAGATTTCAGTGCAGGATCGGTCATGTAAGAAACAAATCGATGATACGCTTCTGTTGAATTATTTAAAACTAATGCACATTTGTGCACATTAACTGCACAATTCAATCCAAGTATTGCGGGGTTGTTCGGCCCAAATAGACCCTGAATCATTCAAATAAAGAAATGTTAAAAATCACAGCTTCTTCGGAATGGTCCGAAATTTGGTGACTTTGTTGGTATTTGGTATATGAACACCCAAAAAAATTGGGGACAGGATGTGAACAGTCTAAGTGGTTGTAAAAAAAATAGTCACACTCAGGACCTTCGGGTCCAAATGGACCCCCATAGGAAATGAATGGGAAATTGGCAAAAATGTGAAAAAACATAGTTTTTTGGTGCGTACAATCTACAAATCAGCCACAATCCATAAAAAAAGCACACAACAGTGAAGGGGTGAATCTATAAAACATCAAGAGTGCAAAACAGACACATCCACACACACACACACACACACACACACTTTTATACACATACACACTCATAAATTCAGATTACATAAATCTGTTTTGAATTTTTAAAAATCACAGCTTAATCGGAATGTTACGAAACTAGGTGACTTTTATGGTATTAGGTATGTGAACACACAAAAAAATTGGGGACAGGATCTGAATAGTCTAAGTGGTTGTAAAAAAAATAGTCAAACTCAGGACCTTCGGGTTAAAATGGACCCCCATAGGAAATGAATGTGAAATTGTCAAAAATATGAAAACACAGACTATTCAAATAGAATAGTCTATTTGAATAGTCTAAGTGGTTGTAAAAAAATAAATAAAAATACTCACACTTAGGACCTTCGGGTCCAAATGACCCCCATTGGAAATGAATGGGAAATTGTCAAAAATATGAAAACAGTTTTTTTGTGCATACAATAAACAAATCAGCCAGAATGCAGAAAAAATGACTCAACAGTGAAGGGGTAAATCTCTAAAACATCAAGAGTGCAAAACAGACAGACACACACACACACACACACACACACACACACTGTATTATATATTTATAATACAGATTTATTATAAAGTAAAACTGGCACTTCAAATTACCATTTAAACCAACCAAACAAACAAAAAACTAGACAAAAATAGTCTTTGAGAATCTGTTATTATATTTTAAAAATCAACAACCTGAAAGAAAATTGGTATATATTTGCAAAAATCACTAGAATCCCCAAGCCTTTCTACAGAGAGCTGTAAATCCACTAGTGGTAAAAATGTGCTATTGCGTGATAAAAATGCTCAGTGTGTCCACCAGATGGCATCTATATTTTTTCAAAAATTGCTTTCATGAGGCCTAGGCTTCACTCTAAAATGTAATACAGCTTTGATAAAAAAAAAAAAAAAAAAAAAATCTATTATGTTCAATGGGAAAAAATGGGTCATAATCATTGCATAAATATTAATTATAAATCATAAAATATCTCAAAACACCAAAAAAGAAAATAATTTTTTTTATAAAAAACAAGTAAAAAAATAAAATAATGATTTTTTTTTTTTTAAATATGAATCCTGCCCGTTGGGTCCATTTGGACCCGAACACCCCAAGTGTGACTGTTAAACGAACAACCCCAGAGGGTTAATGTTGAATGATTCAGCAGTCCTGTGTCAATTAACCACGTTTGAATTCTGTGTACGTCAATGTTATGAACAACTTCCTATCGCCACGGAATAAGCGTCTTGATGAAAACAGCCCAAGCCACTGGAACTACTTCAGAAACAGTCACATGGAACTCGCATGTGGTCAACGGCAGAATGAATAACTGAAAAGAGTGCTGTGGTTTGACTGAGTGGACACTGAATGAAGTACGGCGGTCTGACCTCTTTTTCTTCGTGACGATGAGCACATCATTGAAGAGGAACAGGTAGAAGCTCTTGTAGCCGAAAGCCTTCCTGAAAATGCTGAGATCATCAGTGTACGCAGCCAGCTCGCCACTCTTTTTCAGCCAGCGAGATGACGACACTAACGGGAAAGGCTAAACACATACACGAAGTGTAAGAGACACACTACAGGATTATTAAAACAGTATGATAAAGATTAGGTTCGAGAAATAATCCTTTCTTTCTTAAAACACATCCCTGATCTCACGAGTTTGTCTTTGCACTCGTCTATCCAATTGACTTGCTCCACTTCTTCCGAACTCACTCTCATTTTCCAACCCTTTACCTCCATAAACTTGGGATGTAATGTTCACTTTTTAAGATCCAATCAATTCTAGATGCATAAAATCAATCAATTGTTTTCATGGTAAATTTATTTGGTAACACTTTACAATAAGGTTCATTAGTTCATGTTTTAACTAACATGAGCAAACAATGAATAACTGTATTTTTATTAACTAACATTAACAAAGATGAACTAATACAGTAACTAGTTAATGTAAGTTAATAAAAATACAGCTATTCATTGTTTGTTCAAGTTAGTTCACAGTGCATTAACTAATATTAACAAATAGAACATTAATATTAACATTAAGATTAATGAATGATGTAGAAGTATTGTTCATTCTTAGTTCATGTTAACTAAGGTAGTTAACTAATGATCCTTATTGTAAAGTGTTATTTATTCAGTCAGAAATAAGTCAAAGTGGTTGCAAAGGTTTTAGTTTTCTTATATTTAAAAAAATCTCAAAAGAATGCTGAAGTATTTTTGGGGGACAAAACCTGGAAACAAGAGCGTTTTATCCCTTCAGGCCCCATCGTCCTGAAGTCAATGGTTTTTTAAAAGGGTTTTTAGTAAAATGCTTGAAATAAGGTCTGCGGTGGTGAACACAAGCTCAAGATATATTCACGTTTTATTCTATGATATTCAATACATCAGTTATGCCCTCGTGTCATTTTAAAAGCTTTTGCTAGTCTTGATGATTAAAAAGTGGCGGCTGCAGAGGTTGTCGGGGACATTAGACGAGTTTTCCTGTTCAGGTGATGACGTTTGACAAAAGACAAAAGGTGTAAGAATCATAAGCTTACTCACAGACCTTATTTTCTGAAATAATCCAAAAAAGCCAATGGAAAAATAGTATTTGGTTTTTGTCGAGGGAAACGGGGTGATTACTGCAGAACCTTATATCAAAAACTCTGCCTCAACTGGGTCAGAAAAGTGAATTTCTTTCTTTAAATGTGTCCTTTATCAGCCACCTGCGCAAACACGTACCTTGATTTTGCCAAACTCCATCTGTTTCTGGATGGTGTACATCTGCTCCGTCCGCTCCATCCTCCGCGCTCCATCATTACAGTTCTTCACCAGCTGACAGGAGGAAAGAGAGAAAAAGCTCGAGAACTGAAAAACTGCTCAGGTACAGTACAATTTGTGCTACCAAATCATTTCTGAGAAACACTCATGAGCACTGTCATATTTTAGGCAACTGGAAGTGCAACAGTGACTGCCAAACTTTATTATATAGGGGTGAATTCAGGTTGATTGGGACACTTTTTGCCACTGAGATGACTCGATCAACCTGAATTCACCCCTATAATAAGTAAGCTGCACTTGAGTAACTTGTCGCTTCAACAATAGCATATATCAGTTGTTAACCACCGAGGTTTTGTTGAAATTTGTTTTGGAACAACAAAACGTTGGGTTATTTATCTAGTGGACATGACTCTAAACCAACTTTCACTCTTGTTAAGTAGACATCCAGACATTTTGAAAAGGTGTAGTTTTTCACATCCCGGGTTGATGGATAGAGAGTAGCACCATACCTTACTGATAGCTTTTAAAGCCCAACGGGCAGCATAGTATTCAGCTTTGTCGTGTGGGGTTTTCTGACAGATGGTCTGTGTAGGTATGGAGAGACAAACAAAATAGCACACAAGTTCAATACAAATTCTGAGGGTCTTCAGGCTCACTTGGAAATGACAAGTACCCTAGGTTTGCTGCAGTGTGCTATGCTGCTTTCTAGATGAACACCAGCAGCAGTTTATTACAGCCTACAAAATCATTCTCTGTGGCAGCACGTCAAGGATAAAATACATAAAGCATTCATTAGATTCCTCATTTACAAAACATTAGCCAAACAAATCATTCATAAAACCATGCGTTTGTAAATTAAGTTTGGATGAATTAAGATAAAATCGTTTTTTAATTGCTCACCAAAGCTACATTTATTTGATCAAACACAGTAAAAACGGTAATATTTAGAAATTTTAAAAAGTGCTTTTTTCTATTTTAATGTTTTAAAATGTCATTTATCCCTTTGATGGAAATCATTCTAATGCGGATTTGGCGCTCAATTATTATACATTTTTTTTATTGGTGCTCAATTTTAAAAAAAGTCTCTTATTATTTTCTCAATGTTGAAAACGTTGTTTTTAACTGTTTAACACTTTTTGGGAAACCGTGAAACATTCATGAGCTTTTGATTGGTAGTGCAGCACATTCCCTAAAAATATTAAGCAGCTGTTGATAAACATTAAAAATGGTAACACTTTACAATAAGGTTCATTAGTTAACATTAGTTAACTACATTATGAACTAATAATGAACTGCACTTTAATCTTTGTTAATGTTAATTTCAACATTTATTAATACTTTATTCAAATCTTGTTAACATTAGTTAATGCACTGTGAACATGAACAAACAATGAACAGCTGGATTTTTATTAACTAACATTAACAAAGATTAACATGAACTGACATGAGCAATACATTTGTAACTGCTGTGTTTGTTAGTTAATACATTAAATAATGTTAACTAATCAGAATCAGAAAAAAGCATATTAAAATGTTTTTTGAAGGATCATGTGACACTGAAGACTGGAGTAATGGCTGCTGAAAATTCAGCTTTGCATCACAGGAAAAAATAACATTTCAAAATATATTCAAGTGGAAACGGTTATTTAAAAATGTAACAATATTTACAAATAACAAAAAAAAAAATTTCTTCTCTATTTCTTATCAAACAAATGTCTTGGTGAGCATAAAATACTTCTTTCAAAAATCTTATTTATAACTTTTGACCAGTAGTGTATTCCATAAGACTAACTGCAATAATGCAATCTTTAGTTTATTCACTAGCCATAAACAACCATCTTATGGCTGTTTGCAAAGTGAAATGAGAAAAGCGAGATTTTATTCCAATTTCCAAACTCATAAACTCATATAAAGCTGTTGGTAACAGGAGAAATGTGTCTCTTACGTCCAAGAGAAGTGGCAGACGGGTAACTCTCTGCATGGGTAAGATGAGGAAGGAGATCATAGGCAAACCTCCACACTCTTCACTGCCTTCAATCTGCTTCAAACTCTCTCGAAACGCAGTGTTGCTTGACCTAAAACACAAAAATACATCACAGGCCACCACAATGAATTCCACCTAAACACTTTTTTCCAATCTATAGCGCTTTGGTAGCATCTGCTGTTTATTTAATACTGTACTGCGTGTATTGGCACTTACAGTAGTTTCTGGAGCGTTCTCTGCTGGAAAGTCTCATTGGAACAATACACAATATACGGCTCAAAGTGGTGAGTCGCATGATTCTGCACTATATCACTGATGTCCTGAATCACAGGGTGTTTTTGGTGACGCTTTTCCAGATCTTCAAAAAACCTGAGAAACATTAGATATGGTGTAGAGAGTTCATTAAAAATATGTGGGTCATTCTATGCAAAGTGTTGCAAACCATGTCAAAATAATACCATATTTACAAATAAAAGTAAATAATTATTAGGTGATAGAAATAAATAAATAAAAAATACTAGGATGTGAACCTGTTTTGAGCCTAACTCGAACCAGACCACCAGGGGGCGTAAAAGCAACATGTAACTCTCTACTCCACACCCTCTTGTGTGTTTTTTTGTTGTGAGGAGAAACTTTTAGTATAATTGTAAAAACGTCAACATTTGGGTCATGGTGCAACGTACCTATTTGCTTTAAATTATTTACTGATTTTTTAAATAAAGTAACATGAGGATACAATTTATATTCTTAGTAATATTTCAAGATGAACACTTACTGGACTGAAGCAAGGTTAGGCTTAGCCTACATCATCCATGATTTTGTTAGGAAAATCTTGTTAAAATGATAGTATCAAATATGATACATCAGGCTTATGAGGGTTTCTACATCTCCCAGTCATCATTGTATTGCATTTGTATGTTTTGCTCGCAGAATAGAAATCCCCAGAGCTTTGATGCAGTCAAAAGTGGGCCTTCTAAATAGAGGTGTTTTTCCTCCCCAGGTATGAGCTCCATATTTTTCCTATATCATACTATATAAGCCATGAAAGACTGATGCATCAGCCACAAAACAAGTTTTTTTCTTTTTTTATTCTGTCTAAAGGTTAAATGACCCTTCAAATATATTGGCATGACCCCAACCTGAGTTCAATCTGGTCTTATTTGATATTTTATGTTAATTCCTGTTCTGCACCATGTTTTTTAGTCCTTTGTAGTTTTTTTTTTTTTAATTATTGTTGACAGTTTTATTGTTCATAAGAGTGTTTCTAATGCTCCTTGTCTGGTGTTGTCCTTTGTTGGAGGTTTCGTTGAGGTTCTCTTTTCTGCTCCCTGGTTTTCTCGTGTTTACTTTGGTTGTTATTGTTATTATTTTAATAGAGTTCTCCAGCACATGGATCCTGGCTTGACTCATGTCTGAAAGCACTCTGCGACAATACCAGTCAAAAGTTTGGACACACCTTCTTATTCAACGGTTTTTCAACATTGTATATTATACTGTATATTAATACTGAAGACACTGAAATTATGACACAACAAATATGGAATTATATAGTCCACAAAAAGATGTTAAATAACCCAGAATATGTTTTATATTTTCAATTCTTCAAAGTAGCCACCTTTTGCTTTGATGACCGCTTTGAACACACTTGGCATTCTCTCAGTCAGCCTCATGAGGTTGTCACCTGGAATGGTTTTCCAACTATCCCAGTTCTCAACAGTTCCCAGAGGTGTTGATTACTTTTCCTTCTCTCTCCGGTCAAACTCATCTCAAACATCTCAATTGGATTTAGATTGGTGGTTGTGGGAGCCAGGTCATCTGGTGCAGCATCACTCTCCTTGGACAAATAGCTCTTACATAACCTAAAGGTGTGTTTGGAGTCACTGTCCTGTTGGAAAACAAATGATGGCCCTACTAAGCGCAAACCAGATGGATGGCATGTCACTGCAAAATGCTGTGGTAGCCTGGTTAAGTTTGACTAAGTCACTTACAGTGACAGCAAAGCACCTCCACACCATCAGACCTCCTTCTCCATGCTTCACAGTGGGAGCCACACATTCAGGAACCATCCGTTAACCCTCTCTACGTCTAACAAAGACTCATCAGATCAAAGGACAGTTTTCCACTGATTTAATGTCCATTCTTGGCCCAACAAGTCTCTTGTACTTGTTGTTCTTCCAAAGTAAGAAGCTTTTATGTGGACTGTAATCTGAGGTGCTGTGAATAGGTGGTTTCTGAGGCTGGTAATTCTAATAAACGTATCCTCTGCAGAAGTAGCTCTTGGTCTTTCTTTCCTCATGAGAGCCAGTTTCTTCATAGCGTTTGATAGTTTTTGGCGACTGCACTTGGGGATACATTTAAAGTTCATGAAAGTTTTCGGATTGATTGACCTTCATTTCTCAAAGTAACAATGGACTGTCTTTTCTCTTTATTTAAATGAGTGTTTCTTTGCATAATATGGATTTGTAGTAGCACTAATAGAGCCATTGACTCTACACAAGACCACTGATGGTCTAAAGCACATTAAGAAGGCAAGAAATGTCACAAATGAACTCTTGACAAGCCACACCTATGAATTGAAAACCATTCCAGGTGACTACATCGTGCATCTGATAAGAGAATGCCATTAGTGTGCCAAGCTGTCATCAAAGCTAAACGATAGTCAAACTTTACACTATCACTTTGAATCTAAAGCTGTCACGCACAAAGACTTCAGGAAAATTAAAATAAATAAAGTAAATAAAATGGAATTATTGAGTATTGACCACTTGGCTGATAAGTTTGTAAGATAATATATGGTTTGACTTGAATTGCAAGAACAAAGCTACATAATTCCATACATGTTCTTTCATAGATTGTACATTCATACTGAAGACAGCCAATGTTGAAAATAATAAAAAATAAAGGAAACCACTGAAGGAGAAGGTGTGTCCAAACTTTTGACTGGGGTGTCACACAAGACCCACACTAAATGATTGTTTGAGAAGAATGGACTTCTCCTAAGAGACTAGCTTAACCGCTGGCTCACCTGAACACGGTTTCATTTCGCATCAGTTACTTGCCTCTATTTTCTATGGAAGCTTGTTTCCACCACAGAATAAAAAATAAAAAAGGCAATTGCTACGTTTTATCTCACAATTCTGACTTTTTTTCTCACAATTGCGAGTTTACATCTCGCAATTCTGACAAAAAACAAAACAAAAAACAAAACAGTAATATTGTGAAATATTATTAGAATTTAAAACAGCTTTTTTTTCTATGTGAATATATAGTAAAGTGTAATTTATCCCTGTGATTTAAAGCAGAATTTTCAGCATCATTACTAAATTCCCACGAGTTCACACTTACATACAATTAGACTAGAGGGAGGAAAGTTTAATGCGTATTTTGCGTGCTGTCCGGGGCTCCGAGCTCGGAGTTTGGCCCGAACCCAAAGTACTCCCCCCTGTATGTAAATGGTTAGGACTAGAAGAGTGGAGAAGGGGTGGTGGAGGGGTGCTGCTAAACTGTCAATGGATTGAGGTGAGACTGCTGAATATATATACACCTCTTATCTGATTGCGGAGTGCTCTCCACCCGTGCTAATTATCTGAACGTGCTCCTCCCGAACTTTGTTAATAGAACATCATTTCTTCAGTGTCACATGATTCTTCAGAAATCATTCTAACATGATGATTTGATGCTCAAGAAATATTTCTCATTATTATCAATGTTGAAAGTCAGATTCTGAAACTCGCAATTCTGACTTTTTTTCTCAGAATTGCATATTTATATCTCTCAATTCTGACTTTATGACACGCAATTGCAAATTTATAAATCACGCATTTCTGACTTTATATATCTCGCAATACTGAGAAATAAAGTCCCAATTATCTTTTAAAATGTTTTATTCTGTGGCAGAAACAAGCTTAAATAATACAAAAAAAGGTAATACAAAGTTTAATTGTATTTAAGCTATTTGTGAGATATGCATATCAAACAGAACATTTTAAGTATGTTCTTTATTATCTATAAGGGCAACTCCCAGACTGGAAGGAATCACTCCCACAGTCAAGCTAATTTAGTGTGCTTGTTTCATAAACAACACCAAACTGCATGACACAACATGTTTCGAAACTTTAGTATATATTACAGCCACTTTACTTTAGTCTATAGAGCCACACCATACAATGCTTACAGCAGAACACATGCACAGCTTCTGGGGAAACAGGTATAAAGTTTCATTGTAAATGTGTGCAAGACCATGTTTTGAGAAACATGAATCCAGGCAGCAGCAAGCTGCTTAACCAGTTCAACTAGCATGTTTGAACACGTCCAGCAGTGCATTTACTGCACTCAGGTCTGCTGGAAACTCCTGCATACAGTTTTTTAATGGCCTGTATTAGATCTGGCTCAGAAAGGTGCTGAACCAGTAATTCCACTATTAATGTTACTGTATTGTTTTATATCTAAAGCTGTCATCCTCAAAGACTTCAGGAAAATTAAAATAATCACAGATGTTTATGCCACCCTAAAATGAGAAGAAACAAACCATATGAGATAGAAACTAACTTGTGTTGAGTAAATAAAATGGAATTATTGGCCACTTGGCTGATAACTTATTGGCCACTTGTAAGATAATATATGGTTTGACTTAAACTTAAAGAACAATTGTCTGACTGTCACTATTGAATATGATCAAATCAGATTTAAGAAACCGAATCACACTCTCGACATGCATATTCTAAAAACCTTTACTACTACAATCAGATGTTTATCTACAATGCTTCACAATAAGACATCATGCTGCAAGAGAATGACCTGCACTTGAAGAAATAATATTAAAGTCGCAAACCGGAAGTAGCAACAGATTTAATATATAAGATTATAGAACTCCTTAAAAAACAGTTTCTAGATTGTATTTCTCAACAGTCGTCGTATCAATCCATATTAGAATTTAGAACATAAGAGGATATTTCTACCATTTGATCCATATTAAAATTTAGAAGGTAAGAGAATGTTCATACCGTTTGCTGACTTCCTGGATGACAGATATGTTGGAGAACAGGTGATGGTGTTCCGTTGCTGTCATGGTCTTTTTCAAATCTGCACTGTCCTTAAAATGACGCACCAGGATGCTTACACTGTGCTGGTAGGAAAACTCTGATGTGATGATTTCAAAGATGGCCTGCACAAATACAGAGACACAATATGAACGGTTTATTACCGGTACACAGGTATTACAAAATACTGAATAGGTTGTATAACTTATGCTGATCTTTTCCCCTCAAATGCCAGGAACAAGATGCCAGGAACCAATAGACTGATGTGATGTAGAAACATCAAGAACGTCTAAGAATCGTTCATGATAAAAAGAGGATTCTATGAAGAAGAACCTGAGGTAAAAGTAAGTTGTTTAATAAAAGAAGGAAGAATAAAGAAGAAAAGGAAAGAAGAAGAAGGAGAAGAAGAAGAAGAACGTTAAGAACGTGCTAATGTGCAGATGAAGTTAGTCATTTAAACAATTAATATTTGGCACGTGACCAACTGGCCCAAGTTGTGTTGTGAACTTGAATGCACCTCAGGTCATGTGGGTTAAGGAGAAGTGTGCTTTTCTAAGTGGCAGACCTATGATCTCCACCCACTGGATAACGAAACCACACAGACTTACTGAAGGATGACCTGAACCATATGTTGAGACAATATCATATGCAGTACTAAGAACTATAAGAGACCTGCCGTGTTTCTTTTACTCTCCTGAAGAGACTTCTTTTATCCACTAAAACATGTTTAAAGAGAAGTTGAAAGTTAATGGCCTAAAAGCTTTAGGAATGAATGGCTTTTCCACGAAAATACACAACACAGCCTCATTGAAGGCAGCAGGTGGAACAAAAGAGCAGGTAAGAGTCAGATGTCTGGGTGTGTCTCTGTGTGGAGTGCACGAAGTGAACTTTAGTATTTACACAGCCGTGTGAGTACACATATACTACAGCCATCTGACGATGACTACATGAAATGACTTCATTTACTAGTGCTAGTCATATTGGCCCAAAATATATTTGGATACACTGATAACTTGTCATTTTATTAGATTGGTCTTTCTCAATCATGTTTCCTGAGGACTCCAAACAGTGCATCTTTTGGATTTAACACACCTGAACCGACGATTAGCTCATTGGTGGAGCTCTTAATGAACTGAACTGGGTCAAATGGAAACATCCAAATTGTGCTACATCCAATTTTGCAAAAACCTATATTCAGTCTCCCAAAACTACATGGAAACATGTTTTTTTTTTTTATTGTAAAAGGTATGTTTGAAGCAAAAACAACATCACATCAGCAAAACACCACCATACCCACGGTGATGCATCGTGCTGGCAGCATAATGTTTTGGAGCTGCTTTTCTTAAAGGATTACTTCACTTCAAAATTAAAATTTTCTGATAATTTACTCACCCCCACGTCATCCATGTCTTTCTTTCTTCAGTCGAAAAGAAATTAAGGTTTTTGAGGAAAACATTCCAGGATTTTTCTCCATATAGTGGACTTCAATGGTTATCATGGGGTTGAAGGTCCCAATTGTAGTTTCAATGCAGCTTCAAAGGCTTTACATGATCCCAGCCGAGGAATAAGGATCTTATCTACTGAAACGATCAGTAATTTTTTTTATTATATATATATATATATATATATAAATATATATACTTTTTAGCCACAAATGCTCGTCTTGCACGTCCACAAATTCACACATTACATAATCACGTTAAAAAAGGTCAGGCGGTAACCTGAAGTAGGCGAAACATGTAGGGTAGGGCGAAAAGCTCCATCTCATTTTCTCCTCCAACTTCAAAATCGTCCGATTTTCTGTTTTACCTTTTGTTTTATTTTATTGTAAAGGGCGTTTGATTTAGTCTTTGCACGTTCGCTTTGTAAACACTAGGTCGGTACTTCCACCTGGCGTGGCGCATCGCAGAGCTAGTGCAAGACGAGCATTTGTGGTTAAAAAGTAAATAAATTAAAATGTTTTTTAATGACCGATCGGTTTGCTAGATAAGACCCTTATTCCTCGGCTGGGATCGTGTAGAGCCTTTGAAGCTGCATCGAAACTACAATTTGGACCTTCAAACCACTGATAACCGTTGAAGTCCACTAAATGGAGAAAAATCCTGGAATGTTTTCCTCAAAAACCTTAATTTCTTTTCGACTGAAGAAAGAAAGACATGAATATCTTGGATGACGTGTGGATGACTAAATTATCGGGAAATTTTAATTCTGAAGTGAACTAATCCTTTAAGCTGGAACTGAGGCTTTAGTAAAGGTGGAGGGAATCATGAATAGCTCCAAGTACCAGTCGATTATGGCATCTGCTAGAAAGCTGAAAATCAAGAGAACTTTCACCTTTCATCATCACAATGATCCAAAACACATCTAAATCAACAAAATAATGGCAACAGCAAAGAAAGATTAATGTTTTGGAATGGTCCCAGCCAGAGACCAGACCAGAATCTGTGGGGTGACCTGAACAGGGCCGTGCAAATGCACTTTATCAGATCTGAAAGTTGGGTAACACTTTAGTTACACGTTGCTACATGTACTTACTATAGTAATTCACCTTAAAAAAAAATGTAACCAAACATTGTTGCAAAGATATATTCCCAGGTCAAGATGAGCCAAGCTGATAGACTCCTATCCAAATAGACTAATAAAATCAAGGGTGCTTCAACTAGGTATTAGTTCAGGGGTGTGCAGGTAGTTATTTCAAGTTTATTCTTCTTTTTTTTTGTCTGAAATTTGTCACTTTGGTTTTCGGTGGCATTGCATAGCTTGTCAATTTTGCATTAAAGGTGCAAAAGTTCTGATTTGATTTATATTTGTTTCATTTTTTACATCACAAAAACCAGTGAACATGCCGAGACTCACTTCTTGTCTTTTGCGTTCTTCAGAAGAGATGATATCCAAAATGCCCAAATCCTTCACCTAAGTTTGAAATAAGACAATAAAAGTACTTATTAGTTCTTATAAGCCTAGTTATTTTGAATTAATAAATGCATTTTCCCCATTTTTGTCCTAACTTGAAACAATTCATAAAATTGGTTAAGTCAAGTCAGTCACCTTTATTTACATAGCGCTTTTTACAAAACTGATGGTTTCAAAAGCAGCTTTACAGTGATAACAGGAAAATAATGCAGAAAAGTTTGTTTCTGCTGTACAGCAGATTTAGAAGAAAATAGCGTTATAGTCCAGCTTAAGTTAGTTCAGTGATTAAGTCTCTAAATGTTGTGTTACTGGCAGTATTTCACAGCCACGGCATTTTCTCCCTTCACAGAGGTTTCAACCACAGCTTGATCTAAAGCGAGCAACTCTTCAACAGCATTTGACCCTCATCACCTGTTGTAGTTGACTCCATGTCATGTACGCTGCCCTGTAGTTCTTCACCACAATGCCCTGATCCTCCTCTGGTGGCTCGGTCGGTGTGAACTCATCATCCTCGGTGCTCAGGTTATTGGCGTTCAGACCTCGCTCCCTTATTTCCTGGTAAAAGCGCGGATCTATAAGAGAACGATGCACAACTTACAACTTGCTGTAGTTCAGACCACAGCTTCTCCTGTTTTGTTTTTTGTTTTTTTGACAAGCACTAGTACAGTACAGTTGTCAAGCCTACAGTACAGGAGAAAATGAACTGTCAAAATATGTCAATATCTAGTTTTTATTTTATCTTATGATTCACAACAAATATTTCCATTTTTACAATCGCTAGGACACATTTCTCAATACTTGGGTCACTTTTTCAAAACTCTTCACACAATGAAACAACAGTCTATGTGGGCTAAACTGTGAATTATTTATCATTGCTTTAGCACAAAATGAATTTAATGACTTTATCATTTAAATGACTGAATTCACATTTCTCTCTTAAACACAACCACCGGCAAAACTCTATATACCTACAAGGCCAATTTGCATGTTTACATACTCTTTTCAAAACTGTTAAACTTAAGTTCGAAACCTAACATAATACAAAATTGAATAAGACAGCAATTTGTTGCATTTACAGTAAAAACATATTGAAATATTTTCTGAATCTAAAAAAAATGTATGAAGTGTTTTGGTTTAGTTTTAGTGCATTTTGAATTAGATGAACTAATTCAGGTTGAAAGTTGGTTAGGAGAGTTTTGAAAAAGTGACCCAAGTCTTGAGAAATGTGTCCTAGCGATTGTAAAAAACTGTAAGAACAGTTTTGGCCGTTAAAAGTTGTACAACAATCCCTGAGGGAGAAACATTCCATCTCATTTTATTTATGCGTTTTCAAACCAAAATCTAATTTCTTGGAAGTCAAACTGCATTTATAAGTACAATAGTGACACAGAATGAAGTAGAAAGTTAAAGGTCCATATAGGCAAATTAGAATGTTGGTTCGACAACTTCATCACTTTGCATATGCGTACAGTGCTTTCCTGGTGACCCACTGCTGTGCACATTTTCTCTGTTTCCCTTATTTGACACACTCAGTTCAATTCATGGAGCTCTTTCCGGTCACACTTTATATTAGGCGTCTTTAACTACTATGTACTTACATCAAAAAATATGTACAATGTGCTTATTGTGTTCATGTGGTATTGCAAAACATGTTTGCTGCAGGTTTGGTGGTCTGAGTAGGTTTAAGGGTGGATTAAGAGGTAGGGGAAGGGTCAACAGTATTATTATAATTATAATTACTGAAATTGATTACAGATTTAATTACATGCAGGTATTTTTTTTTTAAATAAGTAAATATTTATAAGTAATACAAGTAAATATATATGTGCATTGTACCAAATGGTTAGTTTAAATGTTAGTACACAGTAGCTAAAGACACCTCATATAAAGTGGGACGCTCTTTCCTACCAAACTAATGATCTGAATCAGGTATGTTAAATAAAGAGTAAGACGAGAGACAAAAATGTGCAGAGCAGTGTGTCCCCGGGACCGGAGTTGAGAACCAATGTCTAGGGAACAACAGTGAAGAACAAACCATCTTTAAATGAGCCAGCATGTTTTCTGTTCCTCATCCTCCCCAATGTTCTCTGTGAGGAAACACAGCATATGACAATGTGATATCAAAAAAACCTTATCTCTGCGTGCTTAAAAATGTAAAAGGTTCTTTGATATTTGATAACTTGAGAATTATTACCACTCTTAGTTTATCTTATCTAAATTGATGACATTCCACATAAACATCCCATGAAATTACAAAAACTCTTTTAATGGTTTGAATGAAAACAGATTTTTTTTTTTACTGACAGAACAGCATGAATGGAAAGCTATATTTAACATTGCTATAATCCTGTATAAAACTGAGTTTGATTAGGGCTTTTTACATTTGAAGTAGGTAACCCTGGGTCATTGTAAACTGAACCCTGGGTTATCTTGCTTCACGTTTCACACTGATCATAATTTACCTAGGGTTAACAATTAATCCTGGGTATTCATAAGATGCAGTTTCACACTGTACAATCCTAAACCCTGGTTTAATGTCCTTATTTGCGGTTCACTGATTTGAACATGTCTACATACTAAACGCTTTACTATCAAGATATACTGAATAGACTTTTCGAACTATAAAAGGGTCTCTTTTTCACTCTAACTGTCACGTTTTCTATCATCATTTGATACGTTTCCTCTCATACACTTAAAGGCCCCCTGAAATCAAAATGTAAGTTTTTTAGCTTTTAGTATGAATATGATACCCTTAAGGTTATGAATAAGGTGGTGTGTTCCAAAACAATGACAAAATTAGCATTTAGGAGATATAAGCATTCAAAACTTACAGTCTCTCACTTCTGCTAAAATGGATCACAGATTTTTATGACATCACCCTGACTTCAGCATCTCATCACATCTTCTGTCTAATCAAATGCTCTGTAGAATCTAAAGCGTCCCGCCCCCTATGCTATAAATACCACCTGGCCAAAGCGAACGTTGACACATCACGGAGCAATATGGGTTGGAGATGTGTGTTCGGCTGCTCAAACGCTCGAGTTTTACTCCGTTGTCCAACTGTACGTTGGTTAAGAATGAAATGGCTAGAATTTATTCAGACCTCTACTATTGAATCCAACGTATCATCAGCGCTTAGATTAGCTTCCAACGTGCTGTCAAGTACGACTTGCAGTCTGTGAGGTAAACTAAACGCTATTGGCTATTTGAAAAGGGGGAGGAGCCATTCAATATGTCCCACCTTAGCTTCCCGTTTCAGTGGAAATTACGTCAATGCATCATACAAAGCTGCGCTTTTGCACTTCAGTGGGCCTTTAATTTACCGTTTAAATACAAAGCGCCGTGTTTCCGTGACTGTCCAAAGCACGTGAATATGAGGCATGCGATTGGTTGTCTGTTGCCAAGCGTCTAGCTGTAACATTCTAACATCGGATAGTTTCACACTGTACAAGTTTGCCACCGTAATGAGGGGTTAACAGCACAAAAACAGTGCAGGGTTTCATAATCCCGGAGTAAAAAGCTATGCTAACCCCGCTTCTAAATTACAAGTGTGAAACGTTCCTTTACCCGGGGTTAAAAGCGGTGTTTAGAACGGCGATAACCCAGGGTTAAGCGCAGTCTGAAAAGCTCTGTTGTGAATTCAACAAACTACATTAATTCAAAAGCATCCAAGTGATAACAGAATAATCTGAGAGGAGGACACTTGCCTTGCGTCCCGATTTGTGTGCTTGCTTTTGGTTGGCCGCCTTGGCTTCACTGACCAGTGTCAGCGTTTCTGTTTGGAGTTCGGTTGGCAAAGCATCAATATTCAAACTGGTGACTGCAGCACGGTAGGACTGATTCCTGCGGTTTCTCCTCAGCGAAAACCCATCACCTGCATCGCTGTCATAGTCCTCCCAGGAGATATCCGTGGCCTGCAGGGAGACGGGCAGGGTCACAACGGTCGTGTGGTGGCGGTTTTTTGGGCGGCTAGTCACAGCCAGGTTCTTGGGAATGAGCTGTTGAGTGCCCAGCTTCCGAGCTGCATTACTCTGAGTGCTGAGCACTACAGTTCTCCTATCATCTTCTGGTGAACTGACAGTGGACAGGTTGATGCTCGAAGCCGAACGACCTGGAGGCTGGTCCAGCGTAAGGGCTGAGCTGAAATAGCCCCCCGGAACAAGAAGAGACTTGTCACCCATGGAGCCATCAGATTTTCTGTTAGACATGGTACCTTTACTTGGTTTCCTGTTTGGCTGGTTGAAAGTGTTTTTCACTTATAGAACATCAGCTTGGGGTTCACATTAGACCACTGCCAAAACCTGTAACAACAGAGATAGATTGTTGGTGGCCGATCTGAATTCTGACTTATGATGCAACTTGAATCATAATAACACCTTGTTGGTTCGTTGGCCAGAGGAGAACTGGCCCCCCGCCCCCGACTGAGCCTGGTTTCTCCCAAGGTTTTTTTCTCCATCCTGTCACCTGATGGAGTTTTGTGTGCCTTGCCACTGTCGCCTCAGGCTTGCTTATTTGGGGACACTTAATATTCATCAGAAATGATTGATCTGACTGTACTGACACTATTGTATGAGAACGGAACTAAGCTGGATGATGACTTTTTTTTCTTTTCTTTTTTTGCAGAACTGCTTTATAGATGAAATGAACTTATTTAATAATTGATGAGAATTATAACAGACCTGAATCAACACTGAACTGACTTCAGATGAACAACAGTTGAAATGCATCATTTTCCTGTTAACAAAGCAACTGATGCAACTAATGCCTATTCGCCAGCCTTTTTCATTCAACAAAGTACTTAATGAAAAGAAATGTTATTATGAACTAGATTTTGCTTATACTGTTTAATATAAATACCATCTAAAGTTAATGCAGCAACATATCTAGCTTTTCACTCCGAAAACAAAAGAAACCATTATTACATAGGCCTAAGTATTTTTTTAGACATTAATTATATTAGTGATAAATCAGCATACACTTTAAACAGTATAATAAATAATACCATAAACACACACACAAAACTATACACACACACACACACACACACACACAGTCAAGTCACGTTTATTTATATAGTGCTTTATACAATAAAGATTGTTTCAAAGCAGCTTCACATTAATAAACAGGAAAATAACAGTGTTAATGTTATAAAATCCATCAATTATGAAACAAATTCAATTTCAGCTGTAAAGCAGCTCTACAAAAGGTAAAAGTGTCATTATTCAGTTCATTGTTAATTCAATTAAGTTCAAAACAGTGTCAATGTTGCAAAATTAGTGTCATTCTCCAGCTCAATTCAGTCCAAATTTTGTTCTCATCCGAGTGTCAGTGCATTAAATCGATTACTGAATACTAATTTTCTTCTAAAACTTTAAAAAAGTATCAAATAATATATTTATGTACAAATAATATATGAAAAAATATATACAATCTTATGATGAGAAATATTTTATGATGAGTAATGAGAATTATGCAATAGACATGTCTTTCAGTTGTATGCCACACCAATGTGGGTTTTATTTTAAATTTTAGTTCACAGTCTGAGTCTCCCTGTTCTTGTGCATTGCAAATAAGAAAAATATGCTGCATGTAGATCTGTTTATTTATTTTATATGTTTCAGCATTGCCAAAGCATGATACTGCCACTGCCGCTAATAACACTGCCTGTTATTTTTCCAGGAACCCTGTCTCGCATCTGCTTGGAATGTCCCTTGATCACGGAAACAGGTGCAATCATAAAAAATCAAGGGAAATATTTGTAAAGCCTTGCATAATAGCCTCACATAAACAAGCAATTATGCCACTTGGGCAACAGAATTAGTTCAGTTGCCATTTACACTAAAAAATAAAGGTTCCAAAAGGTGCTTTTCACAGCAATGTCATAGAATAACCATTCTGGGTTTGGGTTTCTCAAAAGAACCTTTCAGTGAACATTATTGTAACTTCTTTTTCTCAGTGTGAAGATGAAGAAAATTTTAATAATATGAAGATCTTTTATTCCCCCTCCAGTGCAAAGAAACTTTTGTGCAATGCAAAGCTTCCATGGATGTTAAGGGAACCATAGATACCAACAAAAAAACATTTTTGTACAGCTTGACATTATCAAGTAGCCTGTGTTAATGGCACATGGGGTCAAAATTACATACGCTTATAACATTATCAAAATGTAATAAAAAGTCCAAACTGTTGGTCTGACTGAACTTTGTTCTTCAGAGACGTCTTGACATAGCATAACGTTGGATAAAACTATATAGACACGGCGGGAATCTTTTAACACACATTACTGCTCGCAGTCACCTGAATAAACAACTCAACTGCATTTCACGCCCGGACAGACTTTCTCAAAACAACAGCACTTACAGTCTGTTTAAAGGTCATACATAAATAATGGATTGACTTACCCGGCTAATTTCACATGCAGTGTGCTTTTAAAAGTGTGAAGATTTCAGATTTCCCTGCCTACACGGACCCAGAACATATTATATATATATATATTTAGCAGACCTTCAACACATTCCTACGCCGTCTCTGTATTACAACGCAATACGTCACTCCAGGTGAGCCGAGAGAAACACCCACCGGTGATTGAGCTTATACTTCCTCAAACTCTCACACATTGCAGAATCTTGAAAACTTAATTATTTTCGGACAAATTAGATTTTAATTTGAGCACTTGAGACCAGACCGAATATGTGTTTAATTTAATTGTACATGTATTTTATAATCTACCGGTTTTCCAGTAGCGTACTTCAACGGCAAATATGCTCATTGCGTCATCTGTTGGTGAAGTTTGACACTACATCAACACTTCGTTAAACCCCGTCCCCATAGTTACTGACTGTTTCTGATTCCGAATTCATGAAGTAAACCTTCAGTGAACAAGATTGTGTTTGTGTTTTTTGTCAAATTTCCCCTGAGACTGTTAATTATCTATTTTGGGAGTGTCCCAAGATCCAAATATTTTGGACTGAATGGAAGTATTAGGCCTACCTACAAAGAAAAGCTCTGATTACTGTTAATTTTGAAGAAGTTGATGTTAACTAAAATGTTTTTCATTTGATGGTGATACAAATCTTTTGTTTATATTTTATTTAATTATTATACTTGCCCGTTACTATATTCATAAAGTCAACTGAATGAAAAAATGCCACATTTTGAACAATTTCAAATTAATAATAAAATATATTTAGAAACAATATCAAAATGTAAAAACTTAAAAACAAGGAAAACTAAACAGCTGTTTAATAGCTACAAGTTTTTTTCTGTAAAATGCCTTTCTTTTTTTTCTCTTTCTCTCTTCGTTTTTTCCCCTTTTGTTTGCCCCTGACACATGTATGGTTATGTACTCCTGTATGTAAATTATGTTTTGTTCTTATTTAAATGCAATAAAAAAAATGAAGTAAACCTTCACTGAAGTGGATTCTTCTGATAAGCGTTATGCTATAAAATACTGTCGTTAAGTCTGTTCAACGTTCACTTGTCTTGCTATGCCTGTTCAAATGGATAGGAATATTTTCAATTTACACTAAACAATGACGAATTCTACTAACTTCCTGCAATCAAGTTTAAATATTGGAGGTTTAGGATAATTATATAGGCCTACTATAGGCTGTATTTATAATGTTTATGTACTGCCTATAGCCTCCTATCACATTAATGTTAAGTTATTTCTTGCTTGCATTTATTTGTAACATTCAGTCATGTAACTTCATTTGTATTCATGAACATTCTGTAAAAAACAAATACATTTAAAAAAGATTAGCCTATATCAGCTAGAGCATTTGAAATGTCACTGAATTGATATTTCCTTTGTTTAACAGTTTAGTCCTGAGCAGCTGAATTCTCATAGGCCTATATGGATTGGATGTGTTTTTTGTAATGTATATTAAATATTTCACAAGCAAACATTATTTACATTACTTTTAATTATTTTTATTACATTACTTGTTTTGCCACTGGGAAAATTAAAGTTTACAATAGTCTGCCTATGAAAGTCAGGCTGAAAAACAAACAAACAAACAAACATGTAACATGTTATAGGGCCGTAGGAGTTTATAAGGATTTCTGTATGGAGTAATTATGAATAGAAAATCTTCGAATGGCAATGGCGATCACATCTTTGATTTCAGCATCATTATGGCATCTGATAAAAGCAGAATGTTCCCAAACTCAAGGAGGGCCATGCATTTTTTTTTTTTTACAGTTGTACAGGAAAAAAACAAAAAAAAATACATCAACTCTAACCAACGCACAGTGTATGACACAGGATAGACAAATGACATTTATATGCATGTGTATGCACACACATATACTTTCTCACACATGCACGCACACGTACAGATTCACATCCGGCACTTTTCTGATGTCTAGTTACTCTAAACACATTAACAATAGAGAATATGCAGAGAAAAAAAAAAAAAGCTTATTTTTGGGGGACCACAGTATGGCTGAATACAAAGTCATGATCTCATGACATATTAAGCTACCAACATCATTTCCCAATGTAAACTTCCTATGTAAACCTCAGCACAGATGACTTTTAATTAAAGATGCAATAGCGTATTTAAGACATTGGCTTCTTATGGGTTTTAGCGCTGGTTTGATGGATAGGTCTGATAAACATTGTCTGGGAAGACTTGCTATGGCCAAATATCAGTTATGATCTCTGACACCATCTTCTGGTGAAATATTGCTGTTGCATTATGTACAATGAACCCATTGTTCTAACATCCAAAGAAACTACTGGTAAAATATGGATACTTGATATTTCCAAATTGCACAATTATTTAATATAAAGAAATAAAGATGTACCATAACACAAAGCATCACTTATTTTATGCAAGAATACACCTGTTCAGAACTATCATACTTTGTAGATTATGAGCACATGAAGTCAATTTAAAAAAGCATTCAAGCAGAGTACATTTCCTTGACATATATTATCTATCTATACATAAAAATACTACTAGAGATTTGAAATGAGACGTAAAACAAGTATGTGTGAAGCTGGAAGTGTGAAGCTAACATATCAGGTGGGGAGTGCTAAAAAATATTTTCTGAAAAATAATTTACAGATCTTTTTAGTTCTCAAGACTGCTAAATAATCATATACATAAGACCTGACCATAAAACATTAGTTGAATTCATTTTCACTCTTTAACGGAGCATCTTCAGGGCTACATAACCTTAGGAGACTCTGAAGAAGTGGTGATGATGAAGTGGTCGAGTGGTCTGCTGACCCGTCCGTGGTTTGTGTCTAAAGGGTCTGGCAGATTCTGACCCGTGTCAGCAGAGAGTTGTGCAAGAGTGATGAATGTGAGTTTACTACTGTTTCGCTATGTCGCCTTTCTTTAAAATGATCTGCCGTTGCCACGGCGCCAGCTTGGTTTCATCATAGCCTAGTGTTCGTAGTCGCTCCTGTTCCGACTTCTCCTCGTTCTCTTTCTCTTTTCGCCGTCGTTCCTCCTCTTTTCTGCCGGGATGAGAAAAGAAAAGTAAAGGAGGGTACATTAACATGTTTTAGATATAATGCACATTAATACAATCAAAATGTAGCAAAGTCTTGATTGAATAGAAACTGCTTCTACAACTACTATTAGTACTGCAACTATCACTAGCGAAAGTCTTACCTTTTCTGTTCCCTGTCCATCCAGGAGTGAATAAAAGAAATTAGAGGATTACACGTATGTATATATATATATATATATGTGTGTATATTTTAAAATGTTTGTACAGAAGTCACTACACTACAACAGAAAATACTTTACAGTTTTACTTACTTATTATCACTTTGGTATTATAATCCACAAAAGATATTGAGAGTAAAAGACAGAAAATTCACAGATTTGCATGGAAGAAACTTCAGGTATAACTTTTAAAGGCAGTACTATCTGTCTTATTCATTAGGTTTGTCATAAATAGAAAAAAACAAAAAAACAAAACAAAGCTAATACGTTTTGATATTAGAAATGGGCAAAAGTTCCAGTTATCTGTAACCCTCTGGTGCTCTTCACGTGGCACAAAAAAAAGACTCTTTTTTTTTTTCACTGAAAGGAATGCACTATATTTTAGTTTGATAATGTTTTTTGATTTAATATTTTGTATTTTTAAGGGATTTTATGGTACTACATTATATTTACGCAGTAGTTATAATCCATTTATTCACGTTTTGAGCATAGACCTGAAAATTAAATTTCCAACTTAAACTATCGTAAATCTTGAATGCTTTAGTACAGACTTAAATTTGATCTCTTTTCAAAGAAGACACTTGGCAGATTATTGCTGAAGTGAAAAATGTTGAAACTTAAAAAAAGTTACAGAATTGTACGTTTATTTTTATGAAAAATGCATAAGAATACCATAAACATTTTTTATATGAAATCTCTATTTTCGAAAACACGTTTTACTCTAAAATTGCAAGAAAATCAAAGCCATAAATCTAAACAAGTTGTGTTGAACCTGATATCTCAAAAAATTAGCTTTCAGTAAGATTTTGTTTGGCCGCAGTACCAAAAGTTTTCACTAGATGAAATTCGTCTCCCATTCATTTCCAATGCGGCCAAATTTTTTTTTTTTTATGCGGTCATTTTTGACCGCGATGAGCACAAGTGTAACTATTTTTTGTGTGTTTACAAAGCAAGTGCCAAAACCTTTACCAAGTTTTATACCATTTCGATGAAGTAAAAAAATATATAAATAAATATATTTATATATATAAAGAATTTCAGTCAAAAAGGACAGAAGAGCACCAGGGGGGTTATGATTGTTCATAGTAATGAAATTAACACTAATGTGATGAATGAGGTTTACAAACAGTAAACAGAAAAACACAGGAGACAAAAAGAAGGAAAAAGAAAGCCAAAAGCAAGAGCCCAGGCTTTAACTTACTTTTCTTCATCCATCTTTTTCTTCATAATATCTCTCCTCCAGGCAGGCAAGGAAGCCAGACGGGCCGCCTCTTCGTCAGTCTGTCAGAAACAGGAAAGAAAGACACATAGCTGAGGATGAGATCAGCAAAGCTTTTTTTTAGGTTAATAACATTTTATGTAGACAACTTCAAGGTCATTTTTGATGTCACTGCAAGTAACCTCAAAAAAAATAAAAAAATCACAAAGCATTGGAGTGCATACTGGTACTGTCATATCAGCCAGCTGGAGTGCACATGATACCCACCAGAGGGCACTCCTCCCTAGTCCAATACTTTCAGATCATGAACTTCATTTCCCATAACTCATTGCCTGGACTCATTATGTTGTGATTACATTCAGCTGTGTCTCATTACCTTATTAAACTCTGCATATATAAGCCCTGTATTTGTCACTTATTCTTTGTTAAGCCTTGTTAGTGTCACACTGTATTTCTGTGCGTACATGGTCTTGTGTATCCAGTCTTATGATGATTCTGCCCGGTTCTCTGGATTTCCCTGTATCTTGGATGCTGTTATTGTTTAGGTTTTGATCTTTGGCTGTCATTTTGATTTCGATTGTGGATTACCTTTAATAAATGGCTGCGTTTGGATCTTCAACCTGCGTGTGTTAGAGCAGTTCATGACAAGTTCACTCTCTGAATAAAAGGAACAAAAGCTGTCACTGGGGTGGGACCCTTTCAAAAGATACTAATATGTACCTTTATGGTGCTAACATGCACCCCTTTGGGGGTAAATAAGGTACAAAGGTGTAACCCTTTGAAAGGGTACGGTCCTAGTGACAGCTTTTGGACCTTTTTTTGGTGAGTGCATGTACAAGTATCTTGAATGCTAGAATACTGGAAACACTATAAAGCTCAAGAACTACATTTTATAATGTGAAGTACAATACATAAATCTAAAAAAATTATAATAATAATTAAACAGGATATACATTTTTTGTATAGGCCTACATGTGAAAAGGAGATCCTGAATGTTTCCATCAGGCCATGCCACATATGTTCAGGCTGTACTGAACATAACGACAATATAGCAAAGCAACTCATACTATTGTGCTTATTTACATTTACAACCAGTCTAAACTCGAGGTGAACTCGGGTGCTCCAGTGCAACCACAACTCCTCATACATGGTAGCATCCTACTATTTAAACAAATTCCATGGTTTGTACACAGAATATGCCACCAAAACCCTTTAACACACTCTTAAAAAAAAAAAAAAAACATTTTCTGTATACACTTCCCAATAAAGTGTTTCTTCTTTTACTCAGACAGGTAGTATGTGTACAGTGTGAAAAGGGATCTTCTTCCTCCATTCAGATGGTAACTATATCCCAGCAGAGGGGGTGGCCATCTTCAGCTTCTCATTTCCCCTCCAAACGGATTGATTACCTCAAATGCTACAGTGAAATGCTATTGGTAACAGCCAGAGTAAACTAATCCGTGTATTAATATTTCATTATTCCCCTGGGAATTATATGCCCAAAAAAAAAAAAAAAAAAAAAAAAAAAAAAAAATGCCAAAGATGAAATGCTTTGATAGAAGCATCAAATGTTCTTTCATCATTACTTCCATTAATAATATAGTATTGCTTTTCTTTTAAATGTTGGGTAGCCTTTGGATTTTGCCTAATAATTCGGAAAATTTGAAAGACATTAAATGACAAAATTGTTATTGAACCTTTTCAAGAAAAAGGCTATACTGCATCTATAGAAGGAAAGGGAAACCCATTGCTGTATAGAACACAGTTACTATTGAAAGTTTGTATTTGAAAGATAAGTAAAAAATTACACACAAAAAAAAAGTTAGTTAAGAACGATACTTCCAGAGATAGGGCTACTCCAACAGAGAGATATATGTATTCGTACAGAGAAATATTTTGGTCTCATTAAAATGTCATATTTGACCTGAAATCAAAAGAAATTAAATTTTGCATAAAAAAAAATACAGCATATTTTTGTACCATTTTGCATTTACATTATTTTACCCCAAAACTGTCATTATGGTATGTATCCAGATGATTTCGATTTTTTTTTTATCATCAGCATTAAGGTATAAAAAAAGCTTAATTTCCTTTAATCAAAATATAATATTACTTTTGACATTGGGGGAAATATGACCTGAAATATGGCAATTAAATTATTTGAGTGTCTGATATAATCAGAAATAAAACATTTTACTTTTACCTTAAAATATACAGCATGGTTTTAACATGGTGCATATTTAATATGTGTCATTATATACTTTTAATTGACATACTTTCAATACTGCTGGTGTTCACATACACACTTCCTACAGTCCTGCCTTCTTAAGAAAATGGCTGCTAAATGCCCTCAAGAACACAGCTTGAGCTTGACTCCAAAAATAGCGTGATGCCATAGTTAACTCTCTAATTCTTATTTAACTCTTTAGCTAAGTAAGTCCATGGAACCTAACAAGAGTTAATTGTAGGGCAATAAATAACTGTACTAAGCAAACATTAAATGGTCAATTTAAGTCACTAAGTAAAATATATGTTCTCAATAAGGTGTTCAATCATTTTAATAATGTTATAACAGGAAATCACAAATGAAATGATCTCGACTTATGTACCCAATGATGAACTTTAGATTGATTTATTTTGTGTAAATTTCTCAAAAAATAAACAAACCACCAAACCGACACTTCAAACATGGCTAGATGGAACAAAACTGTAACAGTTGAATAATTTAAACCTCAATGTTAGGTGTAAAAAAGAACAAACAAACAAAAAAACAACGTATGAATATCAATGGCAATAAAAACTTTTGCAGTTAAGTAGAAATCCATCTGCTTTTTAAAACCTCTCAAAAACAACATTGCCAAACACAACTGCTAACAAAAGACAATAAAAAGGTCAAGAATGCTCATACACAAATGCATCATGGTTGAGTAAATAAAAACATTGATTATGTTCAGAAACTAAGAGCTGTGTATTCTTACCTCAAAAGAACACTAAGAAAAGAGGGAACACATTCACTCCTATTCTAAAAAACGATTCTGATACTTTCCAAATAATTACGCAACATGCAAAATAAAACCATTGAAAACAGATGATGTATTGTAACTGTAATTTATGATAATGGGCTTATGTTATAGCTTCTGATACACTCAATTGTAAGTCATACAAATACCAAACAATAGTTCAAAGTTACAAAATTCAAATGGCTTCTTTCAATGAATGAATCAGAAAGCAAAATGATGTTTAAAAAATGGTCAGAATAGACTTACACTTTAATTTCAAGAAAATGTATTTTGTGCTTCAAAGTGTGAGCTGATTATTTTATTGTTTTATATATATACACTCACTGAAAAGTTGATGTTTTGCTAAAAAAGACTGATCTTTCCTACACTTCACCCAGTGAGATGAGATGCTATGATATTTCTATGTATTTATTGTTTTATCTGCATGACAGGACTTTCCAAAACGTCAATATTGAGTTTTTACACCCCAGCTTACAGTTGGTTGTAAGACATCTGATGACAAATGATGACAGGACAGGTTGTTGCTTAAATTCAGTTCGGCTCAACATTTGATTGTTTCTTTTAACAATCAAGACCTCAACATTTTCTAGAACTAAACTGCCTTTCTGACCCAACTGTTTGCTGATCTGCTTAACACAAGCATTTATTCTGTCTCCTTATAATTGTGTTTCATCCTTCAAATAACTTGACCTGATAAGTCATATGTCAAACATCTCAGCTTCCTTCTCTTTCCAGAAGGCGAAGCTTCGATCAATATATCTAATAATTTCCTCATTGCTAAACTCTTTAAGTTCATAAATAAGCTTGATGGAGTCCTCATTGGGCTCCTCTTTGGTATTTGCTGGGCCTTGTTTGTTCACAGTGTGTGGGGCTTCCGTCTGGGGGCTTTCAACTGTTATGGTTGCTTGCGTTACTGTGTTTTCTGACTGTGGTGCTGCAATGGGTTGTAGTTGAACTTCAGTACGACTCTTCTGTATTGCTGAATGATTTTTAATGTTCTCCGCTGAGTCTTCGGAAGAGCCCTGTTGGGTGGCCATAGCGCAGTCATCCAAAGTTGGTCCTGGGTGTTCAAAGGGGACATCTGGTGGTGAAATACCTGAGAGACTTGCATCTGGAGCCCTTTGTGGTATGCTTACGGATGCCTGCAGAACCTCTGGAGGGAGAATGAGCTCAGCAGCTTCCAGCAGCCCACCACCCTCAACAGAGTCACCAAAATACTTCACCTTGATATCTTCAAATCCATCTGACCAATCACGTTTCCCTGTCTCAATACTCTCCATCACCTCTCGGTGGAACTGGCGGATCACTTCCCATGGGTGACTGCCAAGTCTGTCAAACATTTCATAGCAAAGCAAGTGGCGGAACTTCCGCTCAGTGCGGGGCATGTTCATTTCAAGAAGCTGGAAGTAGCCAAGCATGAAAAGGTCAAGGGTTAGACTCTCATATTGAACAGGTGACCCGTTGATGTGGGGAAGGAAGTGCTCAGGCCAGTAGATCATCTGAGCTCGACTGAGTCTCCGGATTTGTCGCGTGGGCACCTGGCTCATAATGGTCCTCCAGTGGCCAAGAAGATTTCCCACAACTTGTCTCTGTTTCATGAAATACAGCAGTTGGTCATCTTCAGTTTGCATGGTACCATCTGACTTAGCTAGGTTCTGATAATACAGGGAATGACAGTCATTCTCTTCAACACTTAGAGTCTTCCCTCTTCCTGAGCACTTGTAGGATTCAGTCATTGTGTACTTTCTCCAGTGTTCCAGGAACAGAAACACAATCCTCTCCTTTCGCATCTCGATGCACTCCTGGACGTAGCTCAGGTCCGTTTGCACCTCTAGACTGCGGGTGAGCTGTTCTGAGGTTAGTGGATTCGTAGGGATGTCAGGGTGGTCATGGTGTTCTGAGTCAGATGGTCCTGTTCTTTCAGACCCAGTGTACATCAAAGTTGCGTGGGACTGTGTTATAGGTTCCTCATTCACCAATGGTAAATTTGGATCTTGCTCTATTGGTGACCCATCTCCGATTTGTGAGTTGCTCTCACTGAGAGAGAAGAGAAGCTCATCCTCCAAGATGGGCTCTGATGGGTAGCTACATTCACTAACTGCCGGCAAGGACCTTGTACGTTTGTATACGCGGTTCATTTTGTCATCCTCATACTTTGACGTGCTATGAATTTCATAATTGGCTTTCAGGTTCTTCACAGACACACCACACTGCTTAATCTCCTTCTCCACCTCCTCTCGAGTGGAGAATGATTGCGATCGACCAATGTTTCCAGAGGCCACTGTATCTGAGATCCCTGTCTGGCCACTCTTCAGACCTTCGTACGTATATCCTTGAGTGATCATTTCCAGAATATCGATCTCCTTTCCACCCAAAGTGGCAAGCAAAATGGCCATGCTTTTGAGCAGTGTCGAGATCTTGCTGCACCAGGCAGGCAAGTCTTCTGCTTGCCCATGAACCTGTTTGGGGTTGACAGAGAAGTGGTCTTGGTTCAAAGCTGCAGACACAGGCAAGAGTTGCTTCAACTCTTGCTCCAGCTGTTCCAGATCTTTCTCCACCTCTGTCACTTTGTGCATGACCTGGAGGTTCTCAATCTGCTTCTCAATGCGGATAAGGTCGTCCTCTGTCATTAGTTCTCCAAATGGACCCAGAATAGCATTGTGCACATGAGAATAATGCCAGTCTTGGGCTTGATAGTATCCACTGCCAGCAAACTAAAGTAGGTTCAGAGGAGGGTATAGAAAGGAACAAAACAAAGGAGGGGGTGCCCTTCAGCTTGTAGATCCGATGCGTTACATACACGCTTTTAAAGTCTCTTCACCCCAAACGTTTCAAACTTTACATGAATTTAGTGGTGCGATGATACTGCCTTGTTTTCACTGAGTTGACTTGCACAAGAAGATTCAGGCAAAAAAAAACCCCCCGCAAAAACAGCTTATTTGTCTTAAAATTTATTTTATAGGGTTTTGGTTAGAGTCTATTAATTATATTAAATGAATAATCTGGGTTACTTTCAAATGATTGTCTATGGATACAATCAGGGACATGCTATTGAATACCGAATATTAAATACAATAATTTAAATGCAATTCAGATTGTAAAAAAAGAAGAAACAAGCAAACAGGGCCTATAAAATGCATATTATGAAAGTCTGGTAAGTAAGTGGGCCAGTGGATTTAAAAGCTCATATTTTTGTAAAAGCACTTGAATTCCAAGAGCCATAAAGTTGCCTTAACTGTCCCTGTGGGACTACTTTTCAAGGCAGAGTTATGAGTTACCAACATAATCTTTGTGGATGGAGTGTGCATAACTCAGTTCCATGTAAATACTTTTTGCTGTCACATTAAGCTGATAAATGTGTTATGTCACTTCCCGGTATACTTGTGCAGATACCATCAAACTGGGTTTATTTTTAGCTGGTGGTCATGACATTAATTTAAAGATTACCGGTAGTTACAACTTTGTACAGGCAGGTTTGGTAAGCAATTCTATCACACCAGTTTCATGATAACATGTGTAATGTTCAAGACTTGCTGGCCACTTTTCTGCTGGACTTCCATTGTAGGGGTATTTAGAGTAATATAAGTGTTGTATATTTTAAGTGTATTTACAGCACGTTTCCCATTCACTTTGATGAATACAAGTCTAAATTTAATGCCGGTAATTCCACAGCCTGCCATAGATGCTGTCCATACAGACATTCATTTGAAAATGACCCAGAAGTTTCCTTACTTTATCTGTAAATTATATTTAGCTTGTGTTTCCAGGGAACTTGACCAATTTCCACTAATCTAAAATAAATAAATAAATATTGAGAAGCTTTCTGAGCGTTAACAAGATGTATGAAAGTATAAGATAAAAATAAAAGCTTAATGAGTAGAATGAGCAAGATGACCAAGCACCAGTCGCAGTGTGAAGGGGCTTTGCATCACACCACTGAATCCCCATGTAAAAACTTAGAGCTGTCGTGCACCATCGCCAGTAAGCCACATTAAACTAATACTTCCTTAGTAAATGTCAAACACACTTAGGCTTGTCTTTGGATAGTCACAACAGCCCCAAATTAAACACTGCATCACTCAACACAAAGTATAGAAAAAGCCAACCAAATGTCACGCTGCTCGATACTCACTATGAAAACCAGACCAAAACTAAAGATTGAGTATTTTTAAAGTGTCTTCGCCATAAGCTGAAACCTATGTCTGATCAGTAATATAAAATTCTTTACACTTTAAGCTTTTTCAAATCAGTCAACTCTTACATACATGTTTTTATCCCCAGCTATTTGACTTTGCAATCAAGTACATGCCAGAGGGACACATCGATGTATTCACAATAATTAAATAAATAAATATGTAGGAACAAAGTAGCCTGTAATTGTGATTCGATAATACCATCTAAGAAGTAATCTAGCCTAGCTGACTGATGCATGCTGTCATGTAAAGCAATGTTCCCTGGATAAAAACATATACACATATACTAGCCACACGATATTATTGATTCAATCACCAATTAATATCTCACCCAACACTAATTCTCAATTCTTTCATCTATTAACAACATATCTCTAGGATTTATGTACGGACAATTCCTGCTAACCCGTAAATGGCCGCAGTTATGAAATAATTCAAAACTGCACAAATGTTTGCTCATTCACACAACACTGCTATGGTTACCCAAAGATCATAAACTCATTAGCCAGTTTCTCATTAGGGTCTAATGGAGAAGTGAATGACCACAATTAGTTTTAAATTAATAGATCTTTCCTAAATGGTTGGATATAGTTTTCTAAAAGAGTGTACACTCAAAAATCAGTCACACTTTAGATTAGGGTCCAATTCTCACTATTAACTAAGTATTAACTAAAACTTTTGCCTGTAATGTCCTAATTACTGCTTATTAATAGTTAGTAAGGTAGTTGTCAAGTTTATGTATTGGGTGGGATTAAGGATGTAGAATATGGTCATGTAGAATAAGGCATTAATGTGTGCTTTATAAGTACTACTAAACAGACAATATCCTAGAAATCCTAGTAATATGCATGCTAATGAGCAGCTAGTTAATAGTGAGAATTGGACCCTAAACTAAATTGTTATCCAAAAATCACCATGCAGAGACTCATTGCTTAGCTATCCTCCATGTAGAAACTGTAGCTCAAACCTCAATTTTACATTTTAAATCATAAGCCTTCTTAAATTCTAATGAGGTGATACTATAGCTCACACTACTAAAACTACAGGAGGATACTGTTGATCTCATAAGCTGAGAAAGTGCACTCATTTCCAATTATTAATTGTAAATGTTAAATTGTTAGTCATATTTTTTATAAACAGCAGTTTATATAAACATTTAAAAACAATTAGACATGAACTGTGAGATTGGCTATGTTCAGAAGTGAATACTAGCTGGTTACTTAGAGTGCACTGTATACTGCATACTATTAACAGCAGTATGATACATTGTTGTCACACAACCTCATCATGTTACATGTGAGTGCCAACCAAGTATCATCTTGAAAATAAACATGGTTACTTTGTATTTTAAATGATATACTATCTTAACATGTCATAACTTTTGGAAGCCCAATTAAATAAGTCAAGAAATCACACCTTATATTACTTTCATTCATCACAATTAAAATGAAAGGTCAAGTGAGGTGCATTCTATGTATAAAGACAATTTGCATACTGTGCACAATATTCATGTACTGCAAAAACAGTAGTATATTAGTATGCTATTCCGAACATAGTGATTATTTAACATGCTTAAGGACCCCATGAAATGCCTTGACATGCAGTTTTTTCTCTTGTGCTGACGGATATCCTACTGAAATGTGAGTAGGGCTGGCACTATTGAGGAGCTTATCCCCTTTTTAAAAAATACCAAATAGCCTTTAGTTGAAAAAACATTAAAAAAACATTGACAAAAGAGTTTTAGAAAGAATAAATACCACCTACTTCCTTTGTAACCAATTAATGTATGGGAAAGGAAATTGTTTTGGGATGTTGAAATTGCATTCAGGTTTTGTCAGCTCGTAGGAATGTAGGCCTACTAGCTTATAGATGACCTTAAACACATGGAGTCAAAGCCGAAAAACTCAATTTGTGATTCTGTGGGGTCTTTAAGTATGTTATGAGGCTGGGATTTGAAAGCTTTGGTTAAAGTGTCTAAATGTTGAAATTTAAGCTGGATAAGAGATGCACTGCCTCAGCTTATGTTTAAAACACCCAACTAATTCATCACTCACCTTTCTCTTGTTCTCTTCCTCCTCCTGCATCTTGACTTGTAGTTTCCTCACCATCACCTGTCTCTTCCACTCTGGGATGGCTCGGCCCTGCTCGTCATGTGTGGGCACCAGATTCTCAACATCCACCACACTGGATTTGCTCTGGCCAACAGCAGTATTTCCATTGACGGTGGCTGCAAGCTGCTCACTGCTCTGTGAAACGGACAGGTTCTGGGGTGAGCCACCACTGGTGGTGGGAGTGGGTGGCGTGGGTGGACAAACAGGCGGTGGAGATTCTGGCTTCGTGGATTGGACTGGGGTTGGACAGTCGTTGGACTGGGGTTTTGGCAGAGGCTGTGGCGGCGATGATGGACGTTCTTCCTGGAATTCAAAATGATCAATCAGAATTGAATGTTGCAGAAGAAAATATAGATATAGTGTCTGGCTGTCTGCTGAATTGAATAATAAAAAGACACTCTTAAAGACTCTTGAATGGTTTTTCGTAGCATCTAAGGGTAGCGACACAGCAAACTGTCACTAAAGAACTAGCGCTGATAAATGTCGACTGTGTTGTCGCCTCGCGCCGCCTGCGTTGGGGAAAAAAATCTGCACTTGAACACACCAAGTAAACTACAGCTGACGGCCAACTAGCATGCGCTTTCTGCGCCTGCGTGTAAATGAGACAACTGTCTATTTCGGCAGATTTATTTGTCTATATTCGTCGTTCAAAAAGGGAAACCGACGCTGCAGGTAGACAAACCGTAACACAAATCGCCCAGGAGCACTCAGGTAAGATGACGTAAAATTAGAACAGCCTTCTATCTGTACCGTTTTTATTTCTTTGCCCGCTGTTTTGCTATTATTTTAGTGCACTGACTCATTATAAAAGCTGAACAGCCAATCAGAGTTCTCTCTCTCACCGAATTGGCCCAAAAAAAACCCAACAGCGTCCGACTAGAGCCAACATTACAGAAAACACCGAAAAAATTGAGTCGGCTGGAAGTTGTTGGCCGATCGTCGGCTTGGTGTGTCCCGGGCTGTCTATATAGTTCATGTTAATGTTAATAAATGTCACTTATCGTATAGACTTTTTTGTTTATTTTTGTACAATAAACCTTTTCTTTTTGCATTTGCTATTTTATGTTTACTGTAAAATCTGATTTTTGAAGCAAACTTGAGAGTCTCTGCTCTACTTTTTAAGAACAATTTTTCTTGTTGGTTCTTTGGAAAACATTGTATGTCGCATACATTTTAAACAATGCATTACAGAATTAGGATGGAATTTTTGAATTGCTTAGTTTATGTCTTTGTCAGACTCAAAATCACCGTTCGGCAATTCAGAATTTTTTGACAGCTCAGAATTACCGTTGTTATGTAATCAAACCAGTACATTTCAACTTATTTTCAGTTTATAAGCGATGTAACCTGGTGCTCTTTATTAGGCCCATAATATAGAATATAGAAAATTTAGAGGAGAATAAATGTCATCAACATAACAACAGAGTCATCTTGTAATTACGATACTTGTAATAGTTACTCAACATTAAACTTTGGAAAAATTGAAACATTCATTTACATAAGCAACCATACATTCGTCAGACCTCTTGTTCTAGTCAAGAAATTACTGGTCAGCAAATTAAGTTAGATGAAAGGATTCGAACGCTCCAACTGTCATTTCCTCAATTACGTAACTTTGATAAATTGTGCTATTGTCTTACAGTACCAATAACTGAGTTACACAAGCATCTCACTGAACTGGCTGAATTATCCCGGACAATAGATTTGGGGCCCGATTGCTGAGCTGCACTCCAAACTACAACTTTATACACGGTAACTGTAATTTAGTTCTGAATTTCATTACTTTTGTGGCCCTAGCAGTTATATTTTTGGAAATCTATCTCCATAATAATAACTGGAATTTTTTTCTATTCGTATCCAATACATTATTCTTTTCTCATGTATTTAAAGAAATATCACTCCATGTCCATCCTGTCCATTGGTGTCTATGTGACATATCTGATTTGGCTTTTGTTTCTATCGATAAGCATCAGTATTTCTAATGCAAACAATATTACTTCACATCTCAAGCCAAACAATGGCAGTGACACCCAAATGAGAGATTACAGGTTAGAAGTAGACAACAGCTGTAACTCATATCATAAAATAAAATACTTTTCATTTCTGAGAAATCACTATTAATAATATACATCGTACAAACTTATGAGTATATAAACAATATAAACTTGTAAAACATTACAGTAATAACAATGCTCTTGTCAGGCTTCAGGAAATTAAGTGTTTTCACTTTATACGTAAGAACTAAATTTATTAAGGAAAAAGTAAAATTAAAAAAGAAAGGGAGCGTGACCTACGTTGTTCCCCGCTGGGCCGCTGTTAGAGAATACGGTCGTGTAGCCTTTAGTCTGAGGTGTCGGCTTCAGACTCTTCCCAGCTTTAATTTCGGCCAGAAGCTCAGAATTATCTCCAGTGGGGGACATCATGTTGAAGGATTTATTGCCTGAGATAAAGACAGAGGGAAACTGAGCCAGGATGAATGGATGCGTGAAGAGAAAGAGAGAGACACACCGGACAAGCTTCTCCCCTAAATATTTCATTTAAAACCCCAGACGTCTAAACAAATGTCTAAAGCACTCAGTAACTGTGCTAGTACTTAACAGTACTGATTAAAAGAATCCACTCACTAAATAAAGTTTTAAAAAGAAAGGACCAAAAGTAAAGAATATAAAAAATTAAATAAAAAAACATTCAGGCCTTTGTTGAAGTTTCAAAAACGTTCATGACATATTCAAATAATTTGACCCACTGCTGTGTAGAAAATACTGATTGAAAATTCAAATATATTACAATAATAATTCTAATTACCATAATTCTTTGCAGAAATTTGGTGAATTTGAAAGAGAACGATAGGATAGTGGCTGGCAAATGAGGCCAAATGGGATTTTATGAGACTTGTGGTGTGAAAATATAGAACTTATTAAATTTAAGATTGTTATATAACATAATCTACTTGACCAAATGTGGCCTCTGCTCTTTAAGTTTTAGTGCCATAATACATTGCAATGCAGAAAACAAAAAAATTTGTTGTACACAGTGTCTAATAACAATCTCTAAACAATCAACAAATGTTACTGTTAACATGATTTTATCCTCTTTAATTATGGAAATGATATAAAGTGAGAAAAAATACTTTTAACCATAACGTTTAAACCATAACGAATATAAATGAATGCTGACAGCTACAGGTATAAATAGAACACAAATCTACTCTGCAAGAAAAAATGTAAAAAAAATTAAATAAAAAATACATAAAAAAATCTGTATTTAAAAAGTATTCCTAGACCACTGGACTACTCAAACTCTCAATGTAATTTTTCAACTTCTTACATATATAAACTGAAATAAATTAACGATATTAAAGAAATAATCAAATAATGTACATCACCTGGTGTTCTTGATTTAAATCTCCAGAATGCCTCGTAACAGACGTGCTATTGTTTTGTCATAGCTGTGGTTATGAATAAGTCTTCTCAGACCGAGAGAACCAGTCAGATCTACAACCCTCCTGATTCAAACTCTCCTCTCCTCCCCCAAGAACAAAAAAACGGCATTTGCTTACTGCCGGTGGCTCATCATAGTTGGGGGAAGTCTGAACGGATCAGCGGTAATCAACTCTGACAAGACACGGCTGCCAAATTGGAGCTGGATTTGAAGTCCACTCACTGACCCTACGTCCTCTCCTCACTCTCACTGACCCTTCTCCTTACTCACAGTTCTGTCCTCTGATCAGCCACCCTCTCGCTCTAACTCTCCAACTCTTGCTCAGCAACCAGCTGAGTGGATTAACAGGAAAGAGTCTCACACATGCTGAGCAACACATAAAAGGTGAATAACACGCCTGAAAAAGATGCTTTCTGTTGATTTTCTTTCATAAGATGTCGATAAATCCACCCATGTCTATAAATTACCTTACAATGACCGTACAAATGACCATTGTCCGCTGAAAAATAAACAACTTAAACCAGCCTAAGATGGCGCCTTAGCTGTCTTAGCTGGTTAAAACTGCTCTACTTGGTCTTCCGTCCTGATCAGCTTAAAGTGCCAAAAAAACCTTCAAAACCAGCAAACAAGACGATAAGTCATGACAGCATGGCTGGGAGCACCAGACCAAGTGCAACAATGAGCAATTAATAAAAAATTTGGCTGAAAATCACTAGTAATATGATTTAATGGTTTATCTCTTTCGACCAATATCGCTGTGACCAAATTGATGTGGTGTGGTCAGAGGTGATAATGACACAGGTTAGGCATCATGCCATCAATTTGTTGATGTGATATACGAGAACTGTTTCGTCTCGACAAGAAATCCATGAAGATGATGTAATTGGATTTTGGTGAAAATTGGACCACCGGTCTAGAATGAGTTTGAAAAAGTAGGTTTTTAAAGATAATCAAAATGACGAAGTTCGGCCGACTATGAAAAAATTGGTTAGACCAGATCTCTGTTAAGACCAGTTTCATTGCAATAGGCTAATTTATTCAAAAGTTATTCGCATTTTTGGGAATTTCATACCCTTATGCTTACGGAGCACAGCGAGCATTTCAAATTCATTCCTATGGAAGTTGTTTGCAGGTTCCATATATTAGCATTGTGTTTAAATCCATAATATTGCCAAATAGGCGCTTTAACATTTCGCTTTAAAACCAAATCTTTCGCCATTGTCTTTTCAGTCAGCTCACATTTAGCTCGCCTCACTCGTCATGTGATAAAAGAAATCTGACTCTTGCTGCTGATCAGTGTTGCGACTCTCGTTTGCGTTCAGTTTTTAATTATAGTGTCTGTTCTCTAACTGAACAAAAACATTTTTTACTATAAAAAATGCAGCGATAGGCAAGTGATGTAATCGGTGTGCGGCTGAACACAGTGTAACCGACTATCGCATCAACATAAGTGAAACTTTGGACAGTTGGTGACGCAAAAGCAATTGAGTTAGAGACTCCAAAATCACTGTAATTATTTAATTTTCAGACTGTCCTCTATCTGTGTGCCAAATTTCATAACTTTCCAGCAAGCGGTTCTATGGGCTGCCATAGACTTCAAGAGCAGAAGAAGAATAATAATAATAGGAACACTACGCACCTTCAGTGCTTTGACCCTAATAATAAAATGCAACTTACAACATGTCATTTGCATAGATACGACAGCAATACTATATGCTTAACAACTTTTAAAGGGATGTTTGAGCAAACTCTACAGTATTTTGGAACAAATATATTATATTATAATAAAAACATTACCAAAACAACAAAAGAAAATATGGGCTTGCCAAATGATGTCAAATGTAAAATCTAGGTTCTGAAGAAACTAGTTGAGAACCCCCATTGATTATATTCAACAAATAAAAATTTAAATAAAATGTTACTTCTGCATTTGGGACATCACTTAAAATGTCAACGTGTTTAGGTAAAAATTGCTATTAATTACTACTGTATGAACTGATTTATTCATGCATATAAATGAAAATGACTATATATCACTCCTACCTTTGTTCAAGTATGGAAAAAATTATGTTAATCATTCTTTACTTTGTTAACACTGACCATTTACTTGGTAACAATGTCTGTTTGGTTGAAATAAAGTAAAAAAAAAAAGATTATTGTATTTCATATATAATTTATATTTCAGCTATTTTGCCCAGCATTAGCTATTAAATAAATCATCATATATCTCAGTAAAAACACACTATACGTTACCTTCAACCTTGACTTGACAAATCTTCATTTATGAACTGTAACTAAATATCACGTTAATAACTTAAACAAAGGCAAACAGAAGAACTTGAGCCTGAATACGAGCAGAAAAAAAGAGGATCAAGATGTTAACAATAGCTGTGCATAGTGAGGAATGATGTGACGTAGGTTGAAGGTGTTGCGTTGACGGGAGGGCAGAGTCAATAAGGCCGCCCACTGTTTACACACCTTTATACTCATTTCACTACAGTATGACTCTGCAGACCAGTGTCAAATGACAGCACTTTAATAGATTAATTGACGTAAATTCAATACATTAATCAAAATTCTAAATTACTTTTATTCCAGAATCGATTTTTAAGAGGATTAGTCAACATGAAAACAAAAGTTCCTATGGTTTTATTGTACATAATTAATCAGTGCATTTCATAATCTTTCATCAAAATATAACAACTTGCTCTGTGTCTGAAACAACTTTACTTATCCGCTGATGTCATCAAGACCTCTTGGTTGTCAACCAACCACCTGGCTCCCTTCTGGTATGACACGCCCACTTTTTATAACAATTTATCATTGTCTATCCTGTTTCACTCAGAAATATATCAGTAAAATGGGGTTGTGAATGCCATTTCATGTTGACTTTTTTAGATTTTTGAATGTTTTGAGCCACAAAACAACCTCACCCACAGCACAATTTCATCAATCAATATAGCTAAGCTGTATTAACAATCACAGCTGATGTGCCAGAGAGAGTCCCCACAGCATCTGGGAAGCCTGTGGGCTGATTGAAACTGGAATCACAGAAAAACTCACTCTGGGTGCTGTGGTTTCTTTGGCTATCTGAAAGTGACTAGAATATTCAGGGTAATATTGAAAATGATTGTTCATTGAAAATGAAAATGATTACTTCAGCTTGTGGTCCAGTAGCCAAACAAACAACACAGTTAATGCTCTCAATGAAGGGAAATTAGAAGAATTAATGTAAAGAATTAAACATATAAATGCCAACACACACACACACACACACACACACACACATACACAAATAATGAGGTTTGGGGAAAAATACTTACTCTTCCTCTGACGTAGTGTTTCTGGAGCCGGGTTGACAGAGGGAGACAGATGCGTAGAAGAAAGATCTACTTCTTTAGAGCGATTGCGTCATAAGAAGAGAATAATATGGAAAGCCAGAAGGCACAGCAAAGTGTCCATGCAAAGCAGACAGCCAGAGAGAAAGAGAGACAGATCCCAGCAGACAGGTGTTCAGTAAGACAGGTGTGGTGAAGACAGACACAGAGGATGATGGGATGACAAATACAGTAAGGATATGGAGGAGATGAAACAAACAAACAAACAAAAAACGAAACACAATGAAACACAATATTGTTTTAATAACCTGTTTGCCTCTTCACCTATTCACTAAATAAAACAATTTTAATTTTTAAATCAATTCAAATGGCAAAGAAAAAAACGCATCGATTAATTGTGTTCATTGTGATCTATAGATGCACTGAACATATTTGATTGAAAACCTTTATTAAATTCCTAAACCAGTAAAATGGAACAGGGCAATAAAACACTGGATTTTTGTCTAAAGTGCTTGCTCATATAAAACTTGCCCTCTTGATGGTTTGGTTGCTAGGTATTTGCTATGCGGTTGCAAATGTGTTCTGAGGTCTTTTGGTATGCGCAGTAGGTTGCTAGGGTACTCAGGTGGCTGCTCGGGGGTTTTGTGTGGTTGCTAGAGCATTGCTAGGGGGTTTCTAAAGTAATCTGACTGGCTACCATGGAATTGCTAAGGGAGGTTGCAATGGGTTGTTGCTACAGTAGCAAGTAAGCAGGATGTTTGCTTACTTGTCTAAGCCATTTCAGCCTTTTCTCATCCTTTGGCGTCATACATGTGACGCTTTGGACATTTCATTGAAATCTTACGCACATGGCATCCTTTAGCATCAATAAGAGACGCAGAACCCAAGGCGTCATAACCGTACCCTACCCCAGACCTAAACCTACCCATAACAGTGCGTGTTATATTGACGCTATAGGATGCCATGTGCGTAAGATTTCGACGAAATGTCATATGGCGTCACCTATATGACGCCAAAGGATGAGAATGCGTTGGCCATTTTTACCCATTTTATTATCTGGCAGGTGAAAATTGGACCTCTCCTCATCCAATCATACGAATTTATCAAAACTGTGGAGGACATGTCACACACTTAACATTTAATTCACATGGTTATGAGTTTGTTCAAATGTACAATCAATAAAAATAGTGATACTTGGCTTAGCATACAGTACTAACTGGATCTGTATTTATCATCCTGCATAGCTGTCACAAATATGACGGAGGAATTAGAGATTCAGCTTTTGAATTGTCATCATGATTCCAAAGCCGGTGCTGGATAAACAGAGAGCATGTGCATGCGTGCGACAGTAGGATGCGGTATATAGGCTAACTTATTTACGACAGCAGTAATGGACAATTACGCTTCCAACCTGTAGGGCGACCGCAGAGGAAAAGTTACTTGGTGTTGCTTTAAAACACCAATTCTTTGGAACAGAAGAAGGAAATCAGGTGTCCAGCCAGATAGTGTTGGGCTTTCTGTCTGTGTATTCACTGCTTTTGTTTTCTCTTTCACAGGCCACCATAGATGCAAATGGACGGTGTAAATCAACGGCCAGTGAGTCTGTATAAAGTGTTACATTTCCCTGACATATCACTGAATTGTACAACACATCATGGATATTGTCCTGTCCTGAAGACATGTCAGGTATCCCTTGGAGGAAGAACAATTAAGTAAATGGTAGAACACTAAACCCGATTTCAAAGTAACAATAGCCCATGCGCATTAATTCGTAAATAGACTTTGGAATGAGCAGGCAGCCAGCTCTCATGTTAACAGGCTAGAACTTTGTAAGATTTACCTTGTGGCCGTTTCTAAGTCTTCATTCTTGTGCTCTTGGAGAGCACTTGGTGATATCGAGAGTTGGACTGAACATGGACATGTCTACTGATATCCACAACATCTGGTTTAAATAAACGGTTTAGGATTGCAGACTAAACAGCATGAATATTTTAAATTGGATGTTAGATTGGTTGCACATTCACCCATGGCTGAAGATCCAAGCAAACACAAATACGCAAATTGAAGTTTGACACCTATGCGCTCACACCAATCATGTTATATTTCATATTAAACATTTTAAAGGAATATTCTCTGTTAAAAATAATTTACAATCTGTCAACAGCATCTGTGACATACTGTTGATTACAACATACAATTATTTTATTGTTTGGCTTTAGATGGTTATATTATAACTGAAACTAAAAGAGCTTGAGAGTGGCTTTTGCGTAATAAAGAGAAAACTGGAGAATCCATACTATTTACAATATTTCATAGAGATAATTTTTCCAAGGTCTGGCTCTCTAAAATATACCCTAACATTGATGACAAATGCAACAGATGCCTGGCTTCCACATGTAGTTTTAGTCACATGTCAAAAATCCACATCAACGTTCATATTTTAAAAACGGTCTTTGACGTGAAAAAGTGCTTATCACCATGTCAGTTTTTAAACAGATGTACGCACTTTTCCTAGTGGCACAGAGTCGGAGTACTGCAGTTATTTGGGAATCTAAGCAATTCTCGCCACTCGCCATTCTCAATTAAAGTATTTGGACGTTGACTGGAGAAACCATTAAACTGTGCAATATTTATATATATTTTACATATTTTTTTGTGCGTACATTCGTTCTCTGAATCACACGTATGCTCATTTGAGAAATTATTGTAATATCAAATATAGGATATTCCAATGGTCTAAAGAGTTTGGATGAATTACTTTGTCTAAAGTACTTAAATGCAATGTACTGTAGCTATTTGCCCTGCTGCAATTTGTTGGTTTCCCAGTATCTGGACTTTTAGCCTTTATCTCTGCATTAGCTAGATACTGTATACTATTTCACAGGATATTTCTCAAATCACCAACTATTTAACAAAGGCTTTTAGATAGTCTAGCTGTGTTCTGATTGACAGGGTCCCTATGCAGGGTTCACTGCTTCCGGTTTATCAGGATATCAGTAGAAGTTCACCTAACTTAAAACAATTAAATGAATGTGTTCATTCGGATCACCCTGCAACATCATCACACAGGCAAACCTTTAGTCATTTATATTGGGGGAGTTGTATATAAGACTATACAAAACAATTTTCTGTGGTAATCGACATCCTGAAAAAGATGCCGTCAATAGCCCTATACTTGTTTTTAGCCAGATTTCATCCTGGATTTTGGCACAATAAAATGTACTTGATAAGGCCATCTTGGGAGTCTTGTTCCTTAGTCTTCAGCTTCTTATAGACCTTTTCTGCACTCATTTGTACACTTTTGAGGGCTTTTGAAGACTTGCATGCATGAAAATTGAAGAGTGGTGACCTTACGTGTAAATAGCAAACGTGAAACACACAAATCTACTGGCTTTTATAAAAAAGGCTAAACAAAAGTATCAAAGTATTAACTCATTTTGTACAATCTGTCAAAGCTGTGGCATAGCATGGCTGTATTTGTCATCACTTTCTGGCACTAATAATCTGCCCTCTAGGGATAGGAGAAGATTAAAGGGGTCAAACTATGAACAAAGGGTCAAACTAGTGAAAGGGTCAAATACATAACTCCTAAGTATTGCAAGCATTGTTACTTATTTCACAAGCAAAGAGGACAGCTAAATATAACTAATGGCCTTCACATAGAAGTCTTAAAGGGTGCTTGCATTGTCAATGGTTAAATTCATAAAGTAGATAGACAAATCTCACTGCTATTAGGCTAGTATGTGTTCCTTCTCCATCACTGTATCCAACTGTATCAGGCTAAAAATCACTGTCTACACTCCCATTAGTAGTCACCGCATTGCACTGCTGGTCATTATGCAACTTCATTTGCGTAAATCTGAGCCGTGGTCAACTTTGTTGCATTGTCAATGGTTGCTGTCACTCATGTTGCCTCAACTCATAACTAAATCCCTTTGTCATTGCACATTGCTGTTAGTATGAACTCCCTTTAAAGTTACCATAATAAAAACAGCCTGGTTAATTGTAAAGCCTGTGACACACCAAACCAGTGATGTCAAAAAGGTGAGATTAAATACATCCCAAAGACTACTAGTACGTATGTTCTGTGCCTGCGTGAGAGGAAATAACTGTTTATACAGGCAGTATATAATATAGTACATATATGGTATAGTCTACCTTTGTATGCGGGTATACAAACCGTAAAAAAGGAGAACTTGCTTAACATTTTGAATAATATGTTGATCAGTTGGTTTTTACTTTCTTCATTCCAGATGTCCATGCTGTAGTGAAAATATTTGCATTGAAATGCTCAGATAAGTGAAGATGTAAAATTAAAAGAGCAGTCTGTACACTCTTAGCATCACATTTTTCTTGCTTTCTTGCTCTGTGCACTCGTTCAATAAGGTGAACAGCCAATCAGAGTTGTCCTTTGCACCAACTGTCTAATGCCAATTCAACATACCCAACCGGCCAAAAAGTCACAGACGGAGTCCAACAAGTGCAGACAGTGTGGAACAGACCACAGAAAACTAGACTGACAGCCGCTCAACAAAGGCTCGACTTTGGCCGATGGCTGACCGTCGGGTTGGTGTGTTACAGCCTTAAAGGGATAGTTCCAAACCTGTTTATATGTCTTTGTTCTGCTGAACACAAAGGAAGATAGTTTAAAGGATGTTGGTAACCAAACAGATCTCGGGCCCCATTGACTACCATAGGGGAAAAAAATACTATGGTAGTCAATGGGGCCTGAGCTATGCTTGGTTACAAACATTCTTTCAAATATATTCCTTTGTGTACATCAGAACAAAGACATACAGGTTTGGAACAATTTGAGAGTGAGTAAACAATGAAATTATTTTTATTTTTCGGTGAACTCTCCCTGTAAGGACTGTTTAATTGAAAGGCACCAAAAACAGAGTGTAACCGCAACAGCTGGCTTGTGTTGTGCTTTCATATTGACAGTATATTGTTACTTGGTATGAAATATACAGTACAATGAAAAATGAATGCTGTTAATGCATGACCCCTTTAAACACTTTATATCACCATTGTGAAGTTCTGGATGAGATGGTGTCAGTACTCACTGCTGGAGGAGGAAGACATGCGACGCTGGGAAGGGGCTGGTGTGCTGGTGGATGGGGGAGGAGGGGGCAGATCCGATGGAAGAGGTGGAGGAGGAGGTGGAGGAGGGATGAAGGTGCTGCTGGGTGGGGGAGGTGGTGGAGGAGGAAGGGGTAGATCCTCTGCGGTTCCTGTCCCGTTCTCGGGAGCAGGGGCTTTGTCTGCAGAGTCCTCCAACAGTGCAGAACCCTGTAGAGAGAACAGATGAGCATGGAGCATTCACATGGACTCCACGTATTTTTTTCTAAAAACCTTAATTTGTGTTCAACTGAAGAAAGAAAGTCATATACATCAGGGATGACATGGGTGTGAGTAAATGATTAGAAAGTTTTCATTTTGGGGTAACCTATACCATTAATATACAGAGACCACTGCAATTGAGTAAGGTATTTGTAAAACTGTTTGCCTGAAAAGTGTGAACAATGTGCAACAACCCTTATGAAAAAGAAGTATACTTCGAGTTCATTTTATGATGTATACTTAAAAATATACTTGAACATTCCTTAAGTATATGTAGTAAGTATTCTAATATCAATTTACTAGTAGTAAACTTGTAAGTGTACTATTTCAATTCTGCTTGGGATTAAATTGGCTCACTTTTTAGTATATAAAAATATACGTTTGTAGTGTAGCCTACTATAAGTGTAACAGTAGTAAGCTTTAAGTGCACATCTAGTTCACAACTACATTTCTCGTTTGTACTGCATCTGTACTACAAGTGAACTTATTATTTACTCTTTTAATGCGTGTAGTACTTTTTTTAGTTTATGAAAGTACACTTTGTAGTTTTATACTGCAAGTATACTTGTACGTTTTCTTTAAATAAACATAACATACTTATAGTTTATTATTTATTCATTATTTTTGCACTTAAAGTATACTACTGTGTTCCAATTTAGGTATTCATTTTTTATACTTGAAATATAACTGTACTTTAACTCTTTCCATTTTAAAAACATGTCATTCTAGCTTCATGCATCCTTTTTTTATCACTACTTGAATGTGGGTAAGTTTAATTAAAAAAAGCAACATTTTAAACAAAAAGATGAGAAAATCGCATATTTTGGTCAAAGACTACGTCCGGATCGGATTCAGAACGATGATCAAAACACAGATGGAGTAGATCGAGTCCATCAACACCGCCAAAGCTTCACAGTCGTTTCCTCTTCATGGTTTCAACATTTCATTCGGTAACATTAGGCAGTTTTGATTTATATGCTGTTTAATGTTTGATGATCGCGTTGTTTTACATTTGCGTAAGTAAAGTATACTTTAAGGAAAGAGGAAAGTAGATTTGAAGTAAACTCCTACGTACACCAGTGGACTAGCCAACACAAAAATTCAGAAGCTCAGAAATATGAACATAGGAACTTAGGAAGATATCATTATAAATCAATATTTTCAATGTTAGTAAATAAGACCGTATGTAAAACTATGTGAAAACGTAGTTTATTTAATGACTACTCATTCAAAAGATTAAACACACCTACAAGCCAAGTTTAGAATACTTAATTATACTTTTAAGTATAGTCCTGGATGTTTAAAACAATGGGACGGTACTTCTGCCTACGTCCAGCGTGACCTTTCCAACGTGATTACGTAATGCCTGGCGCGTCGCTGACCAGCACAAGACCAACAATTGTGGTTAAAAAGTATATACATTTTCATTTTTTGCAAATGACAGATCGTTTCGCTAGATAAGACCCTATTCCTCAGCTGGGATCGTGCAGAGCTGTTTGAAGCTCTTCAAAGCCCTTTGAAACTGCATTGATTTGGACTTCAACAATTTGGTTACCGTTGAAGTCCATTGTGTGGAGAAAAATCCTGAAATGTTTTCCTCAAAAAACGTAATTTCTTTTCCACTGAAGAAAGAAAGACATGAACATCTTGGATGGCATTGGGGTGAGTAAATTATCAGGAAATTTTCATTTTGGGGTGAACTAATCCTTTAATGCACTTTATGATTTTTGTGGCATCTAAATTTTTAGTTAAAAGTGTTCAGTGACACAATATGCACTTCAGTGGCACAGTGGCACTTCACTGTTCAGTGCCACTGTGCAATAATGAAAGTTTTTATTTGTCTGCTGAGTTATCAATATGCAGTCATGTGATACACATACCAGAATACCCCAGGTGGTACACAGCAAGTTGTATTTTCAGCTATTTAAATTATTATTATTTTATTAATTATTAAATAATTATTATTATTTAAGTGTTGCAATATAACGCAAAACCTATAGCGTTTATCGTATAGCAGTATGTATCATATCGTCAGGCCCTTGCCAATACCAGGCCCTAATCAATGGCTGATTGGGCAAAATTGAGAATTTTTTTAAAGTTCCCCTTTGGTGAAAATCAAGCTTTTAAAGTTGTTTATATGTCTATGTGGTGTTTTTAATGTGCTTTAAAACAAACCATGTGGAAATGCAAAGTCAACACCATTGCTGAGTATTTTCTGTTTAAAACTGCAGTGAACAGTCTCAAAAATGTGGTTTGAAATCATTGGTGTTTCTGACCTCTCAAACTAGCTTGAAACCATTCACTACAACGTGTGATTGTCAACGAGTGGATCTCTGCGCTGGTGTGAGTGAGTGGAGGCGGGGCTAATTTGCATATTCATAGAACCGTGTATACTAAATGGGGCAAGGGTGTAGAGTTACATTCAAACTATTTTAAGGCATGACGTTTTTTTTTTAAAGGGATAAAATTATTGACTACAGGGGGACTTTAAAAAAAAGTGCATTACTTTTTGTATTTAGGTGACACAAGTGGTAGAAACTAGCCAGAACATTTTCTCTGTCATGTTTTGAAGTGGTCATCTGTCATCTATGCCTAATTTTATTTACCCTCTAAATTATCAACATGATCAGGGTACATGCCTTCAGGCCTGTAATTGATACTTTTTTACCAAGTACTAAAAGTTCACTAAAAGTTCTTTTAGTATAATTCTAAAAATGTCCCCTTTCAGGTCGTGATACACACATGTTTTTCCAGTGAAATCTTTAATGATTTGAACATAATTGAACTTATTAAACATAAGAATAACGTTTATATTGTTAGTAATATTTCAATATGAACACTTGCTGGTCTGAAACAACTTAGGTTTACTAGTCATCCTCATTTATATAGCGCTTTTTAACAATGTAGATTGTTTCAAAGCAGCTTTACAGAGATAAACTTAATATAATTAATACTACTTAATACTAGATTCTAGTAGTCTGCTGTACTGTTATAAAGATCTCTGAATTTCGTCTTACAATTTAGCTATATAAATAGCACCAAATTGCATATTTTTGCTCATTTTGGGTCCCCCCCCCCCCCCCCCCCCCCCCCCCTCCCCTCTTCAAGTGTGAGCTCCATATTGTCCTACTGTATATCATTCTATATGAGCCATAAAATAATAATGTATCAAATTTGATTTAAAAAAACATGATATTTTTATAACTATTATTTCATATGTCAGGCTTTACAATTTAAAAATGACATTTTGGACACTAAAATGATCATAGGTCGAATAAAATAATAAATATACTTCCCAAAACCACTTAATCTGACCGACATACCTCCCACTGCATCCCGCTGTATGCATTACCGCTGGTGAATACACAATTAGATCTAATTGAGTGGTTTGCTGGAATGACAGGACATCTGCTAAGCTAAGAGCGGCAATCCTTTACACTCAGAATCTCTAGAGACCACCCGCCCCTATCGAGTGACGCCAAGTAAACAAGCCCTGACCTTTCACCCCATGCACCCCCACCTCTTGGACGCGTGGCACGCACGTGCCGGTTATCCCCTCCCCTCCTCCTCATCATCACTATCTCCACCATATGGTGCGTGTCATGTCCCATGCATGTCCGTGTTAATGGGTCATTCCCCAAAGAGACATGTGGAGTGCCATCTGGTTCAATCAAGTGGCCAGATGCCCCACTGGGCATCTAATTGGCTCAATGAAGATTAGATCCAATAGCAGAGAGGGGCCATATGAAATGCTGATATCTTGCAAATTATTCTTTCTCTAGATATGAAAGATGTTTCTCCTAAAATTCCTTAGGATTAATTCAAATAAACAGAAATGGCACCTTTTTGGGTAACACTTTATTTAGATAGTCCACTTTAGACATTTTACTAACTATAAGTATCTACGCAACCTCGTGTCAACTATACTATATTCATACTATTATAGTATTAGTAGATTGTCTGCTAAATAATATTAACACTTTATTTTAAATGGTCCCCCAACGGACTAAAAGTAATTTTATTAACTTTATTTATTAACTTTATTTCAGTTAACTTTATTTACTGACTGTCAACTTATTCTACTAACCCTAACCATAATCATAACCCTAACCTAACAGTCTATCAATACTCTAAACGTTAGTTGACATGTAGTTGCAAATTAATGAGAGTTAGTTGACGTGTAGCTACAAAAGTAGAATTCACTTAATATTCAACAATATTATTGATTTGACTGCACTGACACTATTGGATGAGAACTGAACAGAGCTAAGCTGCGTTTTCCAAGAGCATCGTAGAGACCATGGTTCATGGTTCTGGCTTACAATCAACTTAGGCTTACAGTGCTTTTGGGAAACGTAGCCCTGGAAGAAGACATCACTCTTTTTCTGCAGAACTGCTTTATAGATTAAATTAACTAATTTAATAAAGGATGATCTTTACAACAGAACTGAATCAACAATATTTCTAAAATCTATACTTAAAATGTACGATAATAAAAGTGGACAGGAACTAGGAGCGTATGTGGTCACTGTTCACTTTAATTAGGAAAAGAGCAGCTTCAACATTTCGCTAGAAATCTCCTTTTGCATTCCATGGAAGAAAGAAAGTCAGAAATACAGGTTTGATACGATGTATTTTGTTGATCCTGGAACAACATTCCTGTCCAAAAACATAGTCCTAACCCCTAAATCCCTACCCCTAAACCTAACCTACCCATAACTTATCCCTAAAATCAGAGGGAAATGACAGATGAATAAGAATGGCGTAGAAGCCCCTAACTCTTGTTTTAAGCTTAAACTTGACTTTAACTCTAAATCTATCTCTCAAATCGGATTGATTGATTGAAAGGTAAATGTAAATTTTCTTTCCCACGAGTCATCCTTCATATATAATAGGAGAAATCTGCGCTAGTAAATGCAGAGTTCAGGAGCAAACACAATACTTCTAGGACCAGCCGTCAGACTTACATAACACAATAAAGAAAGGCAGTACTGTTTACCCAGTAGCCCAATGTGTTTACAATAAATGTTGAACTGCAACGCTAGCTCTGGGATGCCACACCTTGCATGGATTTATGTTGCAATGTGACAGGTGATGAAGTGAAACCAGCTTCATTTAGAAAGAAGACAGCTGACTGGACAGGAAACAGCTGCTTTGTGTTTTGGCAACCATAATGGTTGTGGTTTTCACATAATGTAAGACATTGTTTCCTGCTATCGATACATTTATCATTCAATTATTTTTAAGTGTGAGCATTTTAGTGTAGAAATGCATAGTTTTTAATAAGATTCTAAACATTGCAAAGCACAAACACTTTGTCTCTATGAAATACAAGCATATAAAGCTTTTTAAAGGGGCCCTATTATGCGTTTTCACTTTTTCAATTTTACTCCCACTGCGCCCACGAAATACGCAAAAAAGGGGACGAGGCCTGGCTGAGCTGCTGCTATGTCAAAGAGATGCTGTTTTTTCCACTCCGTTTCCAAAACTCATTTGTTTGACCTTCCTAAGGCTGACATTATAACCCCAACGTTTATCTGTGCGCTGCACATTTTTACAGAGAACAGCTTCCAGAACCACAATAGGCTATAAGCACAAAAGCTTCTCCTGAAATGGAGCAGTTCCCACTTTGTCGGGACCATCTGTTGTTTGTTCATCTGTTCTTATTATTTCTAATTGTGTTTTCTATTAACAGTTCCAATAATAAGTTTTATGTAGTTGCTATGATGTAAACAAAGGGCAAAGCTTTGCATCTGCTCGCCTGCTAGCTAACATTACAGTATTGATGTAGTGTTTACTGTAGCATTTGTAAGCTCTCACTTTTGTAAGGCTGTTCACCGGCCCTTAGGAAAATTAACTATGGTTTTGGAAAAAAACTAAAAACAAAGAAGTTTGCTAGGTTTCTGAAGATCCAGACATATATTCTGTCCAATGAAGACAAAAAGTATTAGGTTGTGTTTGTCATACGTTGGTTAATGTAATAAATCAGACATGTGGACACCTGTACATCTGATAAAAAAATCGGCGTAAAAGCAGCATTTGTTTGCAGATGACACTTAAAAGAATAGTTCACTTAAAAAGAAAATATTTTGAAGAATGTCGGTAACCAAACAGTTGATGGACCCCATTGACTTCCATAGTATTTATTTTCCTATGGAAGTCAGTGGGGTCCATCAACTGTCTGGTTACCGACATTCTTTAAAATATCTTCCTTTGTGTTCAGCAGAAGAAAGAAATTCATACAGGTTTGAAACAACTTGAGGGTGAGTAAATGATGACAGAATTTTTTATTTTTAAGTGAACTATTCCTTTAATATTTCATTATCTAATAAAATGACATTGAACGGTATTTAAGTCTCCAAATACTTGTTGGGGTCCTCTGTATACCTGAGATCACTAAAATACTAAACACATGCCTAATTATAACCTTTTCACCATTTTTTTTATTTGGTAGCATTGTTAGTCTTACAGATATTATTTGACGTCCAAGTCCTGAGTCCAGACTTAAAGGCAGGGTAGGTAAGTTTAAGAAACTAGCAGAAAACTGCTGGATTTTGAAAGTATTCACAGAGAAACTCCCACCCCCTCCCTTCTGGGCTCCTTCCAAAGCCACGCCCCCAAAACACATGAACGCGTGATGCCGACCGCTCAGCTGGAGGACGCGTTTACCAGCGCCGAGCGGAGAGGAGCGCAGTGCATGGAGTGACATCACCTTTTTTTGCCTTGTTTGCCAGCACTGACTGTATATGCAGGTAAAGGTGGTACTGGGAATTTTGACTGCTCTTTCTCTGCCATTATTGTGAGACTTCCTAGCTTCCAGCCGGTACGTGCCTCTCCTCTTTCGAAATGAGCGAGTCAACCGGGTGCACGCATGTGGGCAGCTCCTGTAGCAGCAGGGGTGGTAGCCATGGTAGCGAGGGAGAGTGACAGTCGCCCAGCCAATCATTGCATTCATTCCGAATGGAAAGAGTAGCTGTGTTTATTGCAGCCCTGAGAGGACTACAGACACTCGATTTTTATTCTCTCCTTTTCAGAGTACTTACATTTTAGATTTGTATTGGTATATAAAGACAGTTTAAACAAATTTGGGAAAAAGTGTTTTAGAAACAAACTGCCTACCCTGCCTTTAAGATGTAGCAAGCATACAGATAACCATTCATACTTTTACTGAAATTGGAAAAATATGAACATGAAAATGTAATTGCGTTACCTCCTCGTTGGGTGCCATGGCTCTGTTGGGGTACTGGTCCGTGGTATCGCTACCCAGGGTTTTGTAGTAATCCCCAGTGCTGGGCTGCTTGCTGAAGCTACGAGACTTCCGATTAGAGTCGACTCTTCGAAGTCTTTCGTGGCTCTCGCCAGGATTCAACTCCTGCCGAAATGAACAGCACATGTTCAGAGATGGAAACAAAATAAAATGCAGAATTTTAACATTCAGTCATTGAAAAAAAAAAAATCATACGAATCAATCACTTCATTTCAGTGTTGGGGAACGTGTCTATGGTCTACGGCCCTATAGTAATATTTGGATATCGGTTAAATCCTAAGAGTTAAAGTCACCAAGAAATCAAAATTGAATTTTTTGCATTATTCTTCAATAATAACTCCCTTTTGCAACCAAATCTCTTCTTTTCGCGATCTGTTGTTTACTGGCGCAAGGGCGGGAAAACCTGTCACTCACATGAGATTGATGCAAACAACAGTGATCCAATGATCCAATCAATTCCAGATAAACAAAATCAAGTTCTGCCCTACATTTTTCAGATATACATCACAATTGGGAAGAAAAGACTATTGCAACTTCTGTTTTTATGCAGATTTTAAAGGGTCAGTTCACCCAAAAAAAAAAAAAAAAAAAGAGTCATCAATTACTTTGGTTACATCAGTAATTGGTTACTTACTGGTTTGGAACAAGTTCCAAGACTTTCATTCATCTTCGAAAAACAAATTAAGATTTTTTAAATTTTAAAATTGTCCCTCCATTGACTGTCCATACAACTACCAATTTGTTGCTTTAACTAATCAACTAATAGTAAAACTAATCAATATGATTTGAGAAATTAGAAATTTTCTGAAGATACTCGATCGCTTTATATGATGAACCAATTGAATTTAGGCTTTTACTCAAATATAAACATTGATTAGAGAACATAAACAGAAGCTCAACCGTACTTGCATGATGCATAAGAACAAACCTCATTGGTTCTTGCAGAAGCTCAAACTTGCTGCGTAGCACATGAGAATGAACCTCATTGGTTCGCACATGAGAATGAACCTCATTGGTTCGCACATGAGAATGAACCTCATTGGTTCGCACGCGTCAAGCATACATGCTTGAGCTTCCGTTTACCACAACTGATGTGTGAGTAGATGAATATTTGTGTGTGAATAAGCCTAAATTAAATCTCTTCATCATATATAGCGATCATGTCTCTTCAGAAAATTTGGACTAAACCACTAGATTCATATGGATTGGTTTTACGATCTCTTTAAGAAGACAAAGCGACAAAGAGGTAGTTGTGTGGACTTTCAATGGAGGCACAGAAATGTCTAAGATTTCATGAAAATATCGAAAGTCTTATTGCTTTGAACGAGGGTGAGGAATTGATGACAGGATTTTCATTTTTGGGTAAGGTACATTTTTCGTTTCCATTGAAACGGTTTAACCATTGAAGTTTAAAAAACAATATTTATGAGTACTGTGGACCTATTTCAAGAGTCCATTAAAAATAGCATTTTTATAATTAAATTACACTATAAACTCTACTCAAATACTTAAAGTGAATCGAGTGAAATCCTTAAAATTAGAAACATCATTTTAACATAAATCGTTTGCAGTCAATTACTAGCTAGCAGTAGTGCACATGCATGTGCTAACATAACTAGCAGATTATCACTGTATTAGTTTGTGGACAATTATTGTGTTTTAAATAAAGCATCACGCAGGGATGGGTCAAAGAATATTGTGATTATGTTAATCATAATCACAATATTCTTTGACCCATCCTTGACCTAACCACAGACTCTACACTTCAGCACAATGGTAACCCTTAAGACTCCAACATAATAGACACAACTTTAAATCCTGACAGAACATTAACATGGACACATCTCCGTCTATATTATTCTTGTGCATTTTTTTTTTTTTTTACATTTACACTCCTTATACAGTTTCAATTTTTAAAATGGTATATTTTAGGGAACTGGTCAACATTTTTGACACTCTTTTTAATAAATGTGTATAGGTTTTATTTTATTTTTGGAGGAGGGGTGTAGCAAATGAAATATCTAAAATATTATGTTTATAAAAACCATATGAATAATAATTCAAATACAAGAATTATAAAAAATATTGTTTACATTTGTTTTAGAAGAAGTCGAATAAGTAGAAACTTAAGCAACACACTGTTGAAGCTGCTGTCACTTTTTTAAATGACACGTCACCTTACATATTTGAATACTGACTTCCCGCCCCCACACGAACGCCATGAAAAGGTGGTTATATTAACTTTGTAAGTGACAGGCTTTAGTGTCAGTGTGAAATTTCTCATTTAATTTGTCAGACAAGATTTTGACTATTCCTCTTCCCACTGTTGATAGCACTGCTTAAAAATGCCACAAACCAATGCCAGATCTTCTGTTCTAGGTAATCTGAAACAGACTATTAATTGAAATTTCATCCCATATTAAAGTTGCTCCACTTTAGAAAAACCTGACAAATTAAGCCACATAAACTCTCAATAATTCCTCTTGAGTTTATGTGGAAAAGCCTCATGTGACCAGCTGAAACAAAAAGACTTTTCATGGCACAAAAGCTTAACTGTAACATGGATTTCTAAGCCTCATCGTCTTAGTAGAAGGCAAACAACACAGCAGACTAAAAGAGAGACTGTCTGACCCCTTGTATGTTGTTTCAGTATCAATGTACTGAACGGTTTCACTTTCTGCAGCTGTCACTCACTTGTGTATGATAGTGAATCTTCATCACTGATCTAAAACCATCACCTGCCTTTAGTAAAGGCTTAACATCACAAGGACAACAGAAATGACATTAGAGCAATCTCAGACGTGTTTTCAAGACTTTCTAGAAATTTCCAACACAAAAAGGCAATGCTTTGTTTTCTCTCAAGATTTCCCTAATGCAAAGTCCTTGAATTTGCATAGTAATCAACCTTATGCAATGCAAGTCTAAAGCAAATAATGTCACAGAATAGTTAAAGAAAAGCACCAAACGTGAGACATTAATCAATTGTTTGATGTTATATTGTGATTTAAACATTAAAGGTACCTTTCATAAAATAATTTAAAAAATATATATTTTGGATATTTAAAAAAAGAAATACAGCATGATCTCTGCCAGAAAGCATATCCGCACATCTACAGTATGACAATGAATTTGAATTCGGTCATGGGTTTTTATTTCCCATGCCAGCTCTGAGGATGGTATTATCCATGCATGTTCTTCCAGCATCCAATTTGCATTGTTGTCTAAAGCACTGTCCTCCATGCAGAATTACTCCCAGTGTAACTGGATTCATCCCAGTGCAGATGGTTTGATTATCATACCTCAGAGAAAACGCTGCTTGAAAGGCTATAGCTGACCTCTATACAATGTGGACGGACCTGAGCCTATTTAAAACCTGCTGAATTTTTCATCACCAGTCACCAATACTTATTCTTCAGTTGTGACTGATCTAAAGAGTGTGCAGTAAGGTTAGATGAAGACAAATTGAGTGAAGAAAATGAAGGCAGTGCAGTTGAACGTATATCTGATTATGCATTCAATGCATTTGAAAGGTTCTCTAGGTTATCACAGGTTACTAACCAACCAGAGGTTACATCATCGTATAATAATAACTAAACATAAGTAATAACTGAAAGTCTGGAAAACATTCCCGACAAAAACGTCCATTGCAGCTGCAAAGACAATTACATAATTACACACAAAGCTCGAGTATTTACAAGTAAACCAAACCAACACAGTTTTAATGCTTGCCACCATCATTATTTCATAACAAAATAACACTGAATAGCAGTCTTACCCTTTCTGACTGCCCTTATTTCTTTCCACAGTGCTGTCACCTTACGCGAAGGTTTAAACTGAGAGCCGGTAGATGCACAGGTGTCACAGGATCTCCATTCTACTGTGAGTCATTCTACCTGACACACGACTTGCCTTTCCCCGCCCCTTTCAAACAATCACATCCCAGAGCCATGACTTCACTGTTCACCTGTTAACCAACCACAGGTCACAGCGCTCATGGGCTCTTATGCAAACCATTGTGACACAGTGGCTAAGCATGGCCGTTCCGACTCGGCTTTCTCACCGGTCGAAGGATTGCATTATGCACACCGGCCACCGAAGGGAATCTGATTACAAATAAAAGTGGAGATCTCTCTCAAAGGTAGTTGATTTACAAAAATAACAAGTGGCAGTGGGTGACAAGAGTGTAGCAGAACAGTGTGAATTAGAAATAGAACATAATGTGAATCTTTTGTGTATAAGAACACAAAGTGTATAAGAATTATGTTGAATGAAATGCCGATCTTGGATTAAAAATAAGCCTGAAAGTGAACTCAGGTGAACTTATATAACATTCTAGTGTAAGTCGAACGAATCATAGCCTAATATGGGCCTGAGTTACTAAATGGTGTGGTATTCAAATATATTAGAGCTCTATACACAAACTAACCTTGAGCGAGGTGAATAGACTAAACACAACCCAGAACTGTCAGTATGTGGTTGCTATGCATTCTTGTTTTACCATGGTATTCAAGCAAAGGGATGTTTTTTTCTTTAATACACATTGTTTCTTCCAATGATTTCCCCTCCAAACTTTGATAAATGTTTGTGTTAGAATAAGCGAAAAAGAAACAGTATGTATTATATTTCTTTATACGAGTATTATTCACCTCTTCACGTAACATGAGCATTACAAATCTGATATATGTGATTATTACAAATGCATATGAATGTTATATCTCTCTCCATATCTATGAGCATTACACACCTCACCTATAAGGTTGAAAAAAATAACATTTCTGATATGCAGTAAGAATATAGAGAATAATGTTAATAGCAGCACAGAAAATTTGATGAGATGTTCAAATTGAAATATTTTGATTGCAGAGTTTGACAAATTGAGATCTCTACTGAAACTTTAGATGTTACGGTCTCCCTTTGCTCTTCATTCAATCCCATTTCTGTCTAGGAGAAACAACTTAGATAATGAACTCTTGTATGCGATTTCTCTTTTTAAAATAAATTCAATCCTGAAAGGTTCCATCTCCTGAAAAGTACATGTAATCTGTTAAGTAAGTGTATGATTGTCATCTCTAAATCCCGCCTCACGATCACCCCCGCCCAACAGC